TGAGTCAAGCCCCGGAGCTGGACTGAAAACTCGCTCTTAGTGCGCTCGCTTTTATGCTGGTGGAGACTGGGTAGAGTCTCCACCTCTTTTTATTAGTCCTTCCCACTCAGGCCCGTTTTTAATGGTGTAATCACTTTCACTTTGAGCCTGGAATATCCCAAATCTCCCAACCTTAGATATGGATTTGCTTTCACTTTATTTTTAAAAAACATGTGAATCTTAGGGACTTTCTTTATGCAGTCCCTTGTGCTCTTATGCAATGTGAACCTTTAAATGTGCATCAGGTAATACAAACATTTGAATGTGTGTGTGTTATCATTAAACAGAACATGTTAGGTTATATGTGTGTTTCTTCAGTGTGTGAATACAATGTGAGCTCATAACTTTGTATTGTGAACACTTTGACATGTATAACAATGCTTTAACACATATAGATGCATCTCAATCAGTTTTATAGGAACTTATACATAAGACATGGTTATATGGTGGTTATGTGGCTTTTGTTTCTTAATCAACTTATGCATTATAACACTTTTACTTGATTAGGGATTAACTTTTACACTACAAATGCAGCGTTATATTTCTACATGAAATAATGAATGGTCACAGAGTGTCCAGAGTGCGCTCTGCCACTCTGAGAGTGTGGTGCTCTGGATAACCCAACAGTACATTCAGACAGCGCTCTGAATTTATGAACAGTCCAGTTTGCGTCAGAGTGCGCTCCGACACTCAGAATGAGTATTTCTGAACGCACCACTCACATCATCTTCATCCATTGTCTAAAACAAGCCAACAGAACTTGCTAGCTAGCGTTGGCTATGTCTGTGGAGACTTGTTTTGCCTCCAGCTAAGCCCCGCCCACCAAAAAAGGTCTTACTGTTTACTAACAGTAAAAGGGTCTATGGATAAGTTCCTCATACATCCCCACTTCAAAAAATCCAAACTATCCTTTTAAATTAAACCCCAGGATACAACTACTGCCACTGACTATAAAAACTGGTCCATAATCTTCTGCTGATAAAATATAAGATCATATTTCTGTGAAATTACTTTGTAACATGAATGCAGCATCATATCCATCATGACAGATTTATTGCCTCAACATTAAGAGTAACTGCACACGTCTATTTCATTAACCAGGCGATGATTTACAACAAGATCCTGCGTCTGTCCACCTCCAACATGTCCATGGGAGAGATGACACTGGGGCAGATCAACAACCTGGTTGCCATAGAGACCAACCAGCTGATGTGGTTCCTCTTCCTCTGCCCCAACCTGTGGGCCATGCCTGTGCAGGTAGGATGAACGGGACCTCTGTACATCAGTGACTGTATTTAATGTTCTCCAGTGATGTTTCAGTAAAGACTTTACCACCATCTCTCTCTGTGTGTTTTATTTCTTTGTCTGCAGATTGTGATGGGAGTGATCCTGCTCTACTATTTGTTGGGCTGCAGTGCTTTGGTTGGAGCAGCTGTCATAGTTCTGCTGGCTCCAGTCCAGTATCACATCGCTACCAAGCTGGCAGACACACAAAAGAGCACACTAGTAAGCAGTTTACTTATATAACTCTTTGCTTTGAAATACAATTTATTTCCTGCAGATTTCTTTGCAGATTTATTAAGAAAACAACAAGAAAATCATTTAATTATTTTACAATTTTTAACTACTTTGGTCTTCAGTGTTAGTTCAATATTTATGGAAGCCAAGAACGACCATGCTTACAATCAGCTTTTTTTATTTTATTTTATTTTACATTTATTTTACCAGGTTAGTCCCATTGAGATCAATGATCTCATTTTCAAGGGAGACCTGGCCAAAACAGCAGCAGCAAAAAAAGTTACAGACAAGACACAACACAACAAATACATTAAAAGTAGTATGAATCCAGGATAACATTAAAATACCTACAGACAATGACAAGAACCAACTGATGTATTTATCATTGAGGTTATCAGAACTTTAAAATCAGGCAGCGGGATAAGGCTCCCAAGATTCAGGTCTTTTTGAAGGCTGTTCCAGGTAAGAGGAGCCGAGCACTTAAAGGCCTTTTTTCCCAGTTCAGTCCTTACATATGGTACAGACAATAGGACAACATCTTGCGATCTCAAGCTGTAGCTACCACCAGCTTTCTGAACAATCAAAGAGCAAATATAAGAAGGGAGCATGCCTAGCATGGCTTTATAGATAAACAGGTACCAGTGACTGAGCCTTCGCATAATCAGTGAGGGCCAGCCAATCCTGGAATACAGAGTACAGTGATGAGTCAATACTGCACAGTTTGTGACAAATCTCAGAGCACTGTGATACGCAGTGTCCAACATCCTCAAACAATGGGCTGGAGTGTTCATATATAAAATATCACCATAATCAAGAAGTGGTAAAAAGGTTGCAGAAATTAGTTTCTTTCTGGCCTCAAAGGAGAAACAGCTCTTGTTTCTAAAATAAAACCCTAATTTCAACCTCAGCTTTTTAAGAAGATTATTCCCCTGAGGTTTAAAAGATAGGCAGTTGTCTATCCATATGCCCAGATATTTATAACAGGACACAATCTCTAGTTTCTTTCCTTGAGTTGTAACAATATCTAAGGTGTTGTCAGGTTTTGACCTGTTTGAAAACAACATTACCTTAGTTTTGTCAGGATTTAAAAGCAATTTTAGTTGAAAAAGCTGAGTCTGGATGATACTAAAAACAGTCTTCAATTTGGCAAGGGCCTCCATGATGGAGGGGGCAGCACAGTATACCACTGTATCATCTGCATAAAAATGAAAATTAGCTCCACCCACATTATGACCCAAATTATTAATATAAATAGAAAATAACGCCGGACCTAACACAGAACCCTGCGGTACACCATTACAAATGTTTAACCATTCAGAGGTGAGCCCATCAAATTGAACACACTGCGACCTTTCTGACAGATCACAGTTGGTTCACAGACCAACCCAGAGCCTGATCAGAAATACCAATGTTAGACAATCTTTTTTTTTAGGTTAATTTATGATTGATTCCTTGGAATAACAAGATACCTTCTGTCAGGAACACTCATTTATTGAAACAAATGGAAATACAGTTATGTTTGGCACTGAGGGCTCCGCTCTTGAGGTGCTGCCCGGATAAGACAAGCAGCATGCTAAGCCAAAACGGAAAACACAATGCAGAAACCCCCAGGTATACAAGAGAGGGCCCAAGCAAGAAAAAAAATACCATTTAACCTTAATGCCATGTTAAGACTCTGAATTAGAAAGATGGTGGCTCGGGTTGTGGAGGTAAAGCTTTGCCACCAGCAGCAGCAGCAGTAGCAACAGCAGCAGTGCGTGGCAGGGATCAGTGAGTAGGAAGCCATATTTAAATGGACCGCCTTGTGAAGGAATGGGCTGTGATCAATGTGAGACTGATAAGAAACAATGATCCATAATGGATGGCCGTTCTCGGCTTCACTAAATACGGCACAGATTATCACATCATTTTTACTCTCTGTTGCCTCGTTTAGGAACACTCAACAGATCGTCTGAAAAAGACCACAGAGATTTTAAAGGGCATAAAGCTGCTGAAGCTGTACGCCTGGGAGAACATCTTCTGTGACAGCGTGGAGGACACTAGAGGCAAAGAGCTCACGAGTCTTAAGACCTTCGCCTTCTACACATCCATGTCCAGTAAGATGAATTGCATATAGTTGCATATAGATAGTATTTACCGGGGTCAGTAAAAAGACAAGACTGCCAGTTTTTTCCTTCATGTATTTTGACTTCAGTCCCATTTATTAATGTATAATCACTGTTTTCTGCTTCACCTGACACAACACACTTGTTTTCTGTCTCTGTGCAGTCTTCATGAACGCTGCTATCCCCATCGCTGCCGTTCTTGCGGTAAGACAATTTTACCACACATTTTTTACCACATTTATACAGTATGGATGTCCAGCCAGTGTTGATGGTAAAGGCACTCGATGTATTGACTGAGTTCTCATCTAAAATTCATTGTTTTAAATGTAGACACGTAGCAGGTGTGCCAGAGTGATGCAGTCGTGGTGCACACACGTCCCTGAGTGCCTGTTTTTCAGGGCAGGTGGCTGTGCCCTGAGATAAACAAAGTTGAACTTTTAGAATGCAGCAGTGCACCGCATGTCATGTGACGAGGAACAACCAATCACAGCGGACAGATATCTTTCCCTTCTTCCATAAATATCAGTCTATGAAGTTGATCATTTTAGTGCAGCGCTGCCAGAGCTTTATATCTGTCCCACAGACGATATTTTTGGCCTAATAGACATGTACAAAACAGCGCCTGGAAGAAGATCAGCTCTGCACTCAGGGTTTCTGGTAATTAGGCTGTGATATGGTGCTGGTTATGGTCGCTTAGCAACCTGAGATGCAACCTGCCTCCGCGCCCTTGAAAGTTGGCACGGAGAAGGCACAAGAAAAGCGCCCAGCACCAAACCTCACATTTTCCAGGCGGTTTAAGACACAGCATGTGTTTGGCCCCTTAAGAAGTGAGTGGGTGAGAGTGTGTGTGTGTGTGTGTGTGTGTGTGTGTGTGTCTGTGTGTGTGTGTGTGTGTGTGTGTAGAAGCACTTTGTCACGACATTCTTAGGAGTTCTTACACTCTGATACTGTTTTAATACCAGATACTTGTTTTATTATATTTTGTTTTCATGTTTTAATGTGTGTCTTGTCTTCACAACAAATTTCTTATTGGGTATTAAACCTTGACCCTTGTTTTGGCTGATAAAGTAGTAGCTATAGGCTTGTGTGCAATGCATTCTGGTATATGTAGGCTTCTTGGTCTGACTGGACGTCCATAAAAGATGGTGAATTTTCCCTTTAAATGTCCTACGTGTGTTTTTTTCTGTTCTTTTTAAACCATAATAATATCTACCAATATCAACAAGGGTTAGTAAAGTTACAATCTTGTCTTGTAGACGTTTGTGACGCATCACTTCCTCAATAAAGTCGGTCCCACTCCTTCTGAGGCCTTCGCAGCTCTGGCGTTGTTCCACATCCTGGTCACCCCTCTGTTCCTGCTCTCCACTGTGGTCAGATTTGCCGTCAAGGCTCTGGTCAGGTGAGTGTTTGTAAACAAATGATTCTTCTTACTGTGCTTTGTGTTGTATTTGTCATTGTAAAGAGTGTTACTGCTGAGGCCATGTGGTAATGCTGTGCTGGCTGAGGGAGAAGGAGATGTGGACATGACTAAACAAGGAAGACAAACTGGATGAGGTTCCTGCGGTAAATCTAATTAAAGGAACATGGAGGAAACCTGACAGCAGCGAGGAGAAACTCTAAACTCCCGAGAGATTACTGGTATTGGTATCGTCACAATCACACTTATTCATGGACTGAATGTGAATGTGTGTGTGTGTTCGCAGTGTCCAGAAGCTCGGTGAGTTTCTTCAGAGTGACGAAATTGGAGACGACTGCTGGAGAAACGGAGACATGTCTCTTTCCATGGAAGCAGGAAAGAAACACCTGGGAGTGGTGAGTGTTAATGAAACCAGATCAATCAACAAAACTGATCATCGACAAGGGAAATGGAACATATGTTTTGATTTTATAGAAAGGCACACTGCACTTTCTGTACAGTCTGGATGGTATTTTTGTTGTTGTAACCATCATTGCCATTTTGTTTGAACATATAAATACCAACATCAGTGCTGATATCTGCAGCACCATGATAAATACAGCAAATGGTCAGACAGCCATTTTTGTATCCAAATTATTTAAACCACCGTTTTAGTGCTTTGATTGATGATAGACGGGGTCGTAGGTGAAGATGAAGTATGTGGGATCACATCTATGTTAAGTAAAGGAGCTTAAAGTTTGTCCATATAGCTCCAAAAATTTGCCTTAATTCAACAGTTTGTACGATATCCTGCAAATTAGCACTGCACAACTGACGTAACATTCTTCCTGTAAAGTTATGTATTTAACTTTAAGTTACTGTGGTTAGGTTTAGGAAAAGAAACATGGTGACAACGTACACACAGTCTGAACACTGGTCTCCAGGGGAAAGTCCGGTGTTTTTTGACCCATCCACCACCCCAACCTGCCTCCTTACCGGACCGCTCAGGACCGCTTCCTTCTTTACTTCTGTCAGTGCATTGGTCATGTGATCGCACATGGGTTTTTATGGGCGTCTAAACTGTGCCAAAACTGACCATATTGAGCTCTCATAGTTTTGTGGCATTGTTTACCGTACAGGATGTCAGCTAATTTACAGTTGCCACCAGTGGTCGAATTGAGGGGGGATGAGGGGGGATGCATGTGGTAACGTGTTTTTCCGAGCCATCTTTAAATGCACCATGAGTAGACTGCGCCAGGCGGCATACACATGCTGTCGTGTTGTTGAGTAATGCTCTTGCATGTAGATAATGTTAGCTAAATGATGACTAATTAATAGAGGCCAATATATCAAGTTAAGCTAGTTAACAAGAACACTAATGTTATTGTTACCTATGTTAAATCGCTTGGTAGCTAGTTTCATGCTAGGATAAACCCACTTCTCCTTAATTTCTGCGCAGAACTTGTGCTCACTATTGCTTTGCATGTATTTGTTTAACTTTTATTGCCACAATATAAAGAGCAGGGTCAAGGAGGAGACAGTGGACCAGAGGCCAGCAAGGGTGATCATGCAGGGTTCTCATAGGTGAGGAGAGATTATAACTGGCTGAGAGAAAATATCTAGAGCATAAAAGTGACTTTGAGGTTAATTTCCACAGCTATCACCACTACTATTCCTAATTCTATTACTAAATTTTGCTTTGCACATTTATTATCTATATTATTGCAATAGATAGAAGAGGGACAGGGAGAAACCAGGCAGGTATCAGGACAGGGACCTGACAGCATCACCAAAGGCTTCATAGGTAAGGAGAAATTATAACTGGCTAAGGAAATGTCTATAGGATATAGGGCTGTCAAAATTGCTCAAAAATGACGTTCGGATATTCCTTCTAAAAATAACTCATAGGTTCGAACCATTCAAATTTTTTTTTTTTTTCGCATTATGTCCACAAGAGGGCAAACTAATACAAGGAAACATACTTGTATATGTATTAATACAAGGAAACATAACTACTTGTAGGTATTTTTATTTCAACATAAACGTCTTTGAAAACATACCTACACATTAAAACACAAAACAATTATCTATAACATTACTTTAGAAATGACCGCGGACCTCTCGCTTGCCCCCCCCCCCGACCCGTCAGGCCACACCGCTCACGGAAGCACTGCGAAGAGCCTCGAAGCACCTCGAAGCGAAGCCAGTTTCCTTTCGGCGCCCACGTTAACCGATTGTGTCATCCTCCACACTGGCTGCGCCGCGCAGCTCCGTGGCCGGCTCTGGTCTATTTTCTGCGCAAGCCGCGAGCGAATGTGTCAAGCCGGGTGACGGAGACAACAGCTGGGAGCAGAAACGCTTGTCGACCAGCATGGAGAAATGTGCGTCTGATGTGAACGGAAGTGCTTCGGCTCGTGCGGGAATGCGCTGCGCTTTGCAGCACCTCCGCGGGCGGTGTGGCCTTATGCAGTGCTTTCAGTGCAGCGGCCCAGGCCAACGCCCACTCGCAAAGAGGACAGCTGCGGTGGTGTTTTTTTTTTCCTCCACAATCGAATATCAATTTTCACATTCGAAGGTCCGATTTTTTTTCAAATTCGAATTTAAATTCAAATTTAGAATATTCGTTGACAGCCCTAATAGAACAAGAGCGACTCTAAGATTAATTTTCACAGCTATTTCAGAACTACTCTTATTTATACTCTAAAATGTTTTTGTCTGTACTGCAATAGCAATACTACTGCATTATTTGTTTTTAAAGGCAGCGGGTATAGGTCATGCCATTTTTCTTTATCTTGATTAATTTTGCACATCTGTGCTATCATATTTGATGATATGTGCACGCAAAAAAATCAAAGCTACATTGCATCCCCCTTGTTAAAAATTAACAATTCGACCACTGGTTGCCACCAATTACTAACATGATGCTAATGTGTAGTTGGGGCCATTCTTACGAAGGTAATAAAATTATAACACAGAGGCTCCATAGTCTGAGACAAAAGGGCAAACTCTTTTTTGGTTGGTAAAATTAACAAAGTGTAGCCAAGGAGCTTGTACTAAATGAGGAATTATACCCTCCTAACTGGGATTTTTTGCTCAGTGACCAGGAATGGCAAAACGACCAGGAAGTCAAACTTTGTTTCAGAAAGCTCTATGTCAGAACATAATTAGACCTGACTTCAATGAACCTGCAGCAAAGATTTTTTTACTCAGCTCAGGTCTGAGCTCTTCTTTAGACATCTCATTTAATGACTTCTGAGTAATGACAAGCTCCAAACTGTAAAAAATCCAAACATTTATCTTGTATTTAAAACAGATCGTGTGAACAAAGCACACTGAAGGTGCCAGGAAGTGGCTTTAACGTGCTGAGTTTAACAGCCAGAGTTTCTTCCTGGACAAGAGCTTTGGATCAATGAGGTGCGCTAGACAACACGGCACACATTCCTTCCGTGTTACTCCAGGTAACTCGTGTTCCATTATGGCAACTGGTGGCTTTAGTAACAGGGTGTTAAGGGATGTTGTATAACATCATCTCTGCTGCTGACTCCTACTATGGAAACCCTAACGAGCACTGAGCAGATCCTCAGAGGAATATTCATGTATTTAGACAGTGGTGTGCTCGGGAACTGCCCATTGGTCCGACATTCCATTGTTCCGACCATATTAAACCCGTTGTTCCGAAGTCCCGTTGTTCCGAAATCATTATGATGCCCTGTGGTTAAGGTCTGGTTAGGTTTAGGCACAAAAACCACTTGGTTAGGGTTAGGAAAAGATCATGGTGTGGGTTAAAATGAAAAAGAAAGTGGCAAACACATAAGCCGTGAGCCTGCTTCGCCTCAAGCCTTTCCCAGCTGACCCAGAGCCTGTCGCCGCACACCATCAAGGTAGAAATAAGCCCGCCGGGAGCTGTTCAGCACCGCAGACCGTTCGACTAATGGGATGTCCGACCAATGGGCTGTCGGACCAATGACATGGACCTGGTGTGCTCACAGTGAGACGGCTTATCTAAATTTAGGTGATAAAAAAACTAAGCTTTTAATAGAAAACTGGTGTTTCTTCTAGAGCAACATTTAAAGGTACACTACGCAGGATTGTCGGTTACTGTTTTAAACCTTACACCAGACCAGTGAAATCTTGACAACTTAAGACCTTTCTGGTCGACTGACATTTGGTCGACTATCAGAGGGCAGCTCTATAACGTGGTTGGTTTGGTTTTGGTTGAATATAAAAGTTTGTATAAAAACTGTCATCAAACATCTAACTCCTTCATTGCTCGTTAGATAGTCCGATTCTGTATCTATCTGAAGAGTTAAAGAAATACCCTGATCCCAAACTTAAATCCTGCTGTGTGTAACTGCTCAGTCTGACTCTGCCCCAGACTGCATGTGCAGACATTTTGCAGCTGACATGCAGCACAAACCACAAGTCAGAGCTCAAGTTCAAGGTTCAGATGTTATTTAATGTTACTCACATCTCAAAAACAACATGTCATTTTGGTTCAGGGTGGGCTGGGATTAGTTAGTTATTCAGTTTCTACACTGAACAGCAAAGTGAACAGTCAAAATATCCACTTATTCACATGGCATTTGGCAGAGTTCATATGGAGTGATTTTACCATTAGGTGTTCACTGATAATTTATGTCATGTTGTTTCCTTAGGACTAGTTGTTATGTTTTTAAAGGCTGCGGGGGTCTAACAGAACACCACCACCCAGTGAAGTGCAGCCAGACTTTAATCTGGTGTGTGTCTGAGGTTTCAGTCGACTCAGTCACATGGTGACTATTATGTTGCAGAGGGATTAACACTGTTTGTGTCTGTAGTGGGCAGTCAGACCACAGAGCTGAGTGACTCACAGAGCTCTGGAGAGGTTTAATGGTTTTCACATATAATGGATTATTTCTTTAAATGTATTATTCACTAACTCAGTGCAGCAGTTTATAGTATCAGGGTAATGTACGCTACTTAGATGTAAACAGTTAAACTGGGTTCAAGCCACGTTTTTTAGTCATACTGATAGTCGTTGTGCCTCCACGCCATGCAATGCAATAGCTGAGTCCGGAGACATGCCTTTGGGTTGTCCGTCTGTCCTTCTGTCCGTATGCCTGTGTGTCCCATTTTTGTGAATGCAATATCTCAAGAACATCTCACGGGAATTTCGGGAAGTTTGGCACAAATGTCCACTCAAACTCAACAATAAACATTAGTTTTTGTTGGTCATACATCAAAGGTCAAAGTCATCCTGACCTTGTCTTATGTCTTGTCTTATTCTCATGAACGTGTTATCTCAAGAACGCCTTGAGAGATTTTTTTTTTTTTAAATTTGGGACAGGCACCTACTTGGAATTAAGGATGAGCATAGAACTTAATTTGATTTTGGATTTTTTCAGAGGCCAAGGTTACCATGACCTTGCATCTGTCTTATTCTTGTGAATGCAATATCTCAAGAACATCTTGAGGGAACTGCTTCCAATTTGGCACAAACATCCACACTGAGTCAAGGATTACTTGATTTGAAGTCGGAGGTTGAACTTCAAGGACACTGTGACCTTGTCCGTAGCATCTCATGAATGCAGTATTAATTAAGAACACCTTGAGAGAATTTCTTTGATAGCCTGATTAGAATGTCATGGTAAAAAGTCAAGGTCACTGTAACTTTGCATTCTTGTGAAAGTGGTATCTCAAGAACACCTTGAAGAAATTTCTTTAAATTTGGCACAAATTTGGCTCACTTGAAAACAAAGATGAACTTTGAACGTAATTAGATTTCGGTGTTCAAAGGTCGAGGTCACTGTGACCCTGCATCCATCTCATTCTTGTGAATGCAATATCTCAAGAACAGCTCAGGGAAATTTCTTTGGCACAAAGGACTCAAGGATGAACTGATGAGAATGTGGTGGTCAAAGGTCAAGATCGCTGTGACCTTGTGCCCGTCTCATTTCATGAACACGATATCTCAAGTAGGCCTTGAGGGAATTTCCTCAAATTTGGCACAAACATCCACTTGGACTCAATGATGAAGAATTTTGTGGTCAAAGGTCAAAGTTCAAGGTTACTGTGACCTTGCAAAACTTATTTTTGGCCCTAACTCAAGAATTTATACACCAGCTACGACAAAACTTCACACAGATGTCTAACAGGGTAAAATGATGAAGTGATGACATTTTATATCCAAAAGTCCAAAGATCAACTTCACTGTGGCGTCATAATGTTCTGCAAAACACTTTTAGGCCATAATTAAACATCATGACTCAGGAACAGAAGGAGAGACGTTTGGGCTGAATTGGTGCCTCTAAACTTCTGTGTCCACCTTTAAACTTTGCTGATTGTATAGATCTTCTCTTCTTTTGGGGGTAAGATGTGTGTGAAGCCTCCATGTTTTCACAGACATGGATGTAAACTGTCAGAGAAACATGACATGTTTGTGGAGCCATACAGCCACGAGGCAGTAATTTTAGTTTTCATTATTTGATCACTTCTACACAACGTTAAAGCTCCATTTGCAGCTATTTAGTTGCAGTTGCATTATTATGTTCCTTTTATGAAGCCATTACAAACTCAAAGTGGTCACTCTTTTTGTTTGGTCCCAGGATATGTGGGAGCTAAGTGGCCTCTGCCGTGGTGTTATTGGACTGTGCTCTCCATAAGATTACTAAATCAATCTCACAGTGTGGCAATAATGTGACTCTCTGTGACCTAATGTGTCCTCTGCTTTGCGATCAGTTCTTCTGCCAGCTACATCATTTACCCATTTATCCCTGAATCAAGTATACATGTAAAAGCACCACTTCCTTTATTCTGGAAGCCTTTTTCTGAGGAAAGAGCAATAACAGAGGGGATGTTGGGAACAGCAAATGTAGACGTTTTCATGTTCTTTATATACTGCAGGTTGTGTTTAATTAGTCACATTAATAGTGAGACCAAGTGATGTCAGTCAGTTTGTTGGGTCCTGACAACCAGTCAGATTGTTGTGAAATTTTGTATTAATATTCATGGTCTCCAGAGGATGATTCCTGGTGATTTTGTTGACTCCCTGAGCTTTCATCTAGCTCGAAAGTTTCCTCATGAGCAGCACTTTGGTCATTGACAAGGTAACATTAAGGGAAATGGACATACACATTTGTTGTAGACATTCATTGTCCTTACAGGATGAATCTCAATGTCTTTAGTTAACCTCTGATCTTTCCTTTATAGCAGCAGCATCATCAGGCAACAGTTTCCACTTGCACACAAGAAATATCAAAATCTAATATGTACATTACCATGAATTCTTTAAGAATATTCATACTCCCCAGATGAATGGTTTATGTTTTGTTTATTTACATTTTAGCCCTGCAACTGGTAGTATCTTTCTTGAACTTCTTGTTAACACTTTCCTTGTCAGAGTTTTATTTTTAAGTTTCCAGCCATCGGCAGCATTTTTGATCATATTCACTAATCTTTCAAGACCCACGATATACTTTGTTTGATGACCTTGCATCCGTCTTATTCTTGTGAAAGCAATATCTCAAGAACATCTTGAGGGAACTGCTTCCAGTTTATTACAACTCGACTTCCGTACCCTGACTACTCCCTCAGATGTTTGCCCCAGGCGTCAGATGACATGTGGAAAGTGACATTATGCTACGTGACATAGCCAGCGTGACCTTTAGCCTCATGTAACAGCAGAGATTCTTTGTGATGTTGGTGTGAATATCTGTTATGTTGCAGTATTACAAAGATAATAGGACTTCACATGAAGTACAAAGACCCTGATGTTGAGTATGTTTGTATAAAGTGTGTCTGGATAAGAAGAACAGAGTAATGTGCGAGCAGTGGGATTGAACCCTCTGGGGCAGCATCCTCTAGACTCATATCAGAGGGAACCCCTGCGCTGCTTCTTCTTCTCCCCAGGGAATTAAAGCAGATACAGGAAGGTCTCAAGTTTATTAGTTAATGCTAACTTCAAATCTCTCTCTCTTTTAATATCCCCTCAAGACCAAAGCCATCAACAGGAAGCAGCCAATGCGCTACCAGATGGACCACTACGAGCAGCCGACCAGGCGACAGATGAGGCCCACGGAGACAGAGGATGTGGCTGTAAAGGTCAGGGTCAAAGTTCACGTGTTGGGGAATGGTCGAAGGGGGGTGAGGACAGAAAAGGAGTATGAACTCTCAAAGACACCAGGGACATAACAGCCAGTGTCCAAGGTTAATGTTATGTAGATTTTAGAGGTTTAGGTCTTAAACATTTTGTTTGGAGTTCAGGAAAGACACTGCCAGTTGAATTTTCCTGTTAGCAGGATATTGTCTGGTCCAGTCAGTAACAATGGAGAGGTCTTTTATGGCATGGTACTGCGGTTTTCTCCAAAGATTTGGAAGAGAGGCAGAACCAGCTCTATAAAAGTAGAAATCTTTGTTGTGGTTTCTGTGTGAGAGAACTGAGACAGGCGGTAAGAGGCAGGAGTGATAACTCCGCTCTCCAGACTTCTGCCTGGCACTTTAACAGTCCTCTCATAGTGATAAAGCTTAACCAGACCTTCAGGGAGAGACAAGTTTAGTAAACAGAGAGATGAGTTGCCAGTGTGAAGCAAGATGAGACAGAAGAGGGGGCATTTAACAGAAATGAAATATTCTGAGAAAGAAATTAACATAAGAAGATATATCCAGGATGTCAAACTGACTCAGCAGCAACAACAGGTTAAAAAGACAAAGATAGTTAGAAGCTAAAGCCAAACTATAGGCTACAGATCACAGTGTAAAAGTGAACCACCACATCACTGCTGAACGCCACACAAGACAATGAAAATAAAGGGAAACTTTGCTGATATTGAACCAGCTGTGTGGCATCGCAGTGTGTGCAGATGAACAGTGTTTGCAAGCCACTGGATAGGCTTGGGACTCCAGGGGATGCCAAACAACTTTCATCTGCACACACTGCGATGACACACAGCTGATTGAATATCAGCAAAGTTTCTCTCCTTCCCTTCACTGGTTCCTGTACAGCAGGGTCGGTCTTTGTTTCACTGTTATAATCATTACAAAGCAAAAGCAGCATGTGTGTACATTCAGTAGGCTATATCTTCAGTAGCTAGCTAGCTAACCCTACACTTTTCAGGGTTTGATTTTGGTTTTGGAACAGGGAAGAAACATATATATTTTTCCAACCTCTCCAGTTAAAGAGTATCATTAATACACGACATGCCCCAGGCACAACATTTAGCTCCAAATCCACAAAACCAGCCTGAAAATGAAGGAAATCTGAAATGATGGAGCACAGCTGTGTTGTTGTCGGACCCTGGTCTGAGCCGGCCTGATGCTAGGATATGATTGGCCAGCCTGCATCTGGGGACGGGACTTAGCATCATTATTTTGACATAGCTACTCATTATTTTAACATACCAAGGGCCCGTCCCAATATCCCCCCTTGGCCCTACCCCTAGATTTGCGAGTTGCTGCGAGGGGTAGGGGTGTCCCAATTTCTTTTTGCGTGTAGGGGTAGGGGGCATAACGAGGGGTAGTGGGTATGAAACTAGCCCTTCTGAGCGAGGGATTTCAGATGCTGACTTGCCAGCAAGGGGTAGACGTCACCATGGTTACCACCAAGCAAGAGACGGGGATAAAAGGTTTTATTGCTATTCATGATGTCTAGATTGGAGTTGACAGAAAGCTAGTCAGCTAGCTAACATTACCGTTGTCCGGTTGCTTGTTAGCTAGCTAGCTAGCTAGCTCACACTATCTGGCGTCTGTCATCTGTCCTGTTTTTCAAAATTGTCGGATTTTTCACAGTAAGATAACACGCCAGCTAGTATAACTATGCTGCCTCGTAATGTTAGCTGGTTAGCTAGCTAGCAGAAGTCCCCTGTTGTATATCTTATTACTCTGATGGTATGTTAGTAGCAAGCATAATAGTAGCTAATGTTACCGTTATGTTGTAGATGGCTTGCGGCTTCCTGTTTAAAATAGATAGGTATGCGTGAATGTAACCGATGTGGCGTCCCAATTCCTAGAGAAAGATTTCAACCCCTACCCCTCGTTGCTTCATTTCAAGGGCCAAGGGATAGTGGGCAAGGGCTAGGGGATTGGGATTGGGCCCAAGACATTATTTTCAGTTACTAAGTCAATATCATGAAAGTTTTTCATTATAATGCCTTGCAGGGCCTTTTTTTCATCACAGTGACATCTGTATAAGGAGCATTTTGATACCCGATTCTAAGTCTTTTTTCTTATGATATATCATTTGCTGCCATTTTTAGTATTTTTTGTTTACAGTACAACTATTCCTTGACAAACTGTACACACCTCAAGAGTGGAAAATATGGGGCGTCGGTGGCTTAGTGGTAGAGCAGGCGCCCCATGTACAAGGCTGTTGCCGCAGCAGCCCGGGCTCGAGTCCAGCCTGTGGCCCTTTGCTGCATGTCTCTCCCTCTCTTTCTCCCTCCCCCCTTCACGCTTCACTGTCCTGTCGATTAAAGGCAAAAAATGCCCTAAAAAAATATCTAAAAAAAAAAAGAGTGGAAAATATCATCAAAACACCTCCTGATACAGAGCATTAACTCTGATGCAGCTAAATCACACTGGCACACAAATAATGTCAACACCAACACTAGTTTACCTGCTGTATGCCAGCTGTAATCACACTGACAGTCACACTTTCAAATGTGTTTTGAATGAGAGTTAATACTGGACATATAAACCAAAATCTCATTAGACAGACGATCAGTGATGATCTGACAGTACTAGGGATGTCCCGATCCGATCGGCGCCGATCACGTTATTTTTAGAAAATCGGAATCTGTAATAAAAGATCGGAGGAATCAAAACAACAACGATGGCCAGGTTTTTCATCTGTGTTGTTCACTGTTGCCTCCACTTTCCAATGTATAAAGTGTGGCGATCCTGTATATTTTATAAATATATTTTTTTTATAAGACAGTCAGCTGATGGCTTGCTGACCTCCAGACACTGAGGTACCTCCAGACACGCTCACCGGTGTTATCAGCCAGTGGGATGGCTCGATCAGCTGAGCCCAGGTAGAACGGCCCCTACATTATGCCGCTCCTGGCAGTATGGCGAGAGTGAGAAATGAGCCAGAAGTCCTCCACGTATTCGGCCTACCACGGCATTTTTACACTGCTCAAAGCCAGCAGAATAGGTGCGCTTCCCTGTGGAATATCATCCATCCGGCCACCGGCCTCAACTCAGAGATTCCGCCATGGATATCAAGGGATCCTACAGAGCCTCCACGCCGGAGCGTTACGGCATTCACACAGGGTCCCGTGAGTTGGCAAAAGCCGGAGGTTACTTTCCGTTTCATTATTCCTTATTTGGAATGTTCGGACCGGGTTGATTTATTGTTATGAAACTGAACTGAGTCAGAGCCAACAGTGGATTTTCTTTACCTACTTGGTTGCCGGAAAACCTGGGGTGGAGTTTTCTTATGTTTAGCGAACTGTGTGGTTTGAACTGTACCTGTTTTATGGTTTATGGTTTCGTTGTGGGGTTTGACTGAGTAAAAGAAAAATATTTGTTTCATGTGTCAAATCGCTAAAAAAGATATAGGCCTATTTTGATTATTGAAGACAAGAAGATATTGACTTGGTTTACATTTTGTGCCGCTGAACCACCGATAAGCTTTTTGGATACTATTTTAATAAAAAACAAACCTTATGGGACAACTTGGATGCATTCTTTTTTTTTCTTTCTTAATGCTTTGCAAAGTATCAGATTGGACTTGGTATGGGACTCGGTTTCAAAATAAAGGACTCAGTATCGGATTGGATGCAAAAAAATCAGATCGGGACATCCCTAGACAGTACACATCGTTCATCCTACTGACATTTCTGTATTTATTACAGAACCACGTCTTGCATCATTCATTCCTATGAGGTCATTATCACTCACACATACATAGACACGTAGGAGCTGCTCCCTTAATACCATCATTTATTTAACTCCATCAACAGCTGTTTCATATCTGGACTGTTTGTACATCCATGGGTCATTTGTGGGTGCGTGCATTCATACATGTGACGTGCGTGTGTGTACATGTGTGTGTGTGGACTCTCAGGAAGTGTAGGATTCACACGAGAATTCGTTGCCCCTTAAAGGGCCTTGTGAACGTGTCCAAAATTTTCTCAGCCCCTCTGTGAAGGCTGCTCTTCCTGTCTCATCCCTGCGGAGTGACGCTACCGACCAGACGGTGGTCCGTTAATTAGAAGGAGAGAGATCAGGGTTTTCCATCCTGAACACGGTCTTTGTTAGTGTAGGATTTATCAGCTCATCAGTTTAAGTATTGAATTAAAATAAATCACTTTTCTCACACATTACATGGGACAAAAGTATGTGGACACTCAAATATACACTTACAAATGTAGTTCCAGAATCATGTGTATTAATACGCTGCTGTAACAGCTGCTAATCTGCTGGTTTTCCACCAGTTCCAGTTCATCCCAAAGGTGTTTGATGGGATTGGAGTCAGAGCTCTATGCAGCCTGCTCAAGCTCTGCTACACCAGTCAGTTTTATTTATGTAGCCCGATATCGCAATTAACAAATTTGCCTTTTACGTCACAAAATGGGCTTCACATTCTGTCTATCATGTGACACCCTCTGTCCGCAGATCCTCTGTTCAGATAAGGAAAAACTTTCCCACAAAAACTTAATTGGGAACATTATTTATATATCAGAAGCTGATTTCATTTGTGACATCCCAAATTCAGGGTGGTATAGCCATGAGTGAGCTTACACCACCGGGTATCCAAGGCTTAGCTTCTGAGATCAGACGAGATCAGGCGTATTCAGCAAGAGTCAGTTCATCACCTGCCGGGCGCCCTTCTGTGCGGAGTTTGCATGTTCTCCCTGTGTCAGTGTGGGTTTCCTCCAGGTGCTCCAGCTTCCTCCCACAGTCCAAAGACATGCAGGTTAATTGGTGACTCTAAATTGTCTGTAGGTGTACATGTGAGTGTGAATGGTTGTCTGTCTCTATGTGTCAGCCCTGTGATAGTCTGCTGACCTGTCCAGGGTGAACCCTGCCTCTCACCCAGTGTCAGCTGGGATAGGCTCCAGCACCCTGTGACCCCTAATAGGACAAGCGGTTATGGAAAATGAATGAATGAATCCCAATTGGAAAAAAGTGTAATGAATAAGATGTCCCTGGTTATAAACACTCGCATAAACACTCATGATTTAAATGGGTGCTGTTCCCCTTTAACTGTTGCAGTGTTGTATTTTCCAAACCATAAATCCACAGAGGAATAGGATGAGACTTGTTTTCATTTTGTGGTGATTTCATATGTGAAACTGATGTCAGTTTATCTTCCTATCTGGTATTAAAAGTACCACTTCCTGTAGTTTCTTACTTTCTGTTTTGAATAACTTATTTTCATGTTTCATTCCCCATTTTACAAATCTCTCCACTTCCGCTCTCCCTTCCTCCCGTCATTTTTTCATGATAGTATCTGATCTTGCGCTCCCTTTTTGTGCCTTATCTCACTTTTGACAGACTTAACTGCTTTTCTCAGTAGCCATGACACCAATCTGTGATTTCTGACATGTTTGTGTATCAGTTGATTTAAGTATGGTGCTGGGGAACTTCTACATTTTAAGATGTACCCACGATATCTGATGACATACTGATTTATCACATCCCACCCCAAATGTCTAAACCACTGAACACAAACTGAAACACGAGTTTTAAATGCTAATTGAATATCTGCTTACCAAGGAAGATGTTTTTATTCTTCTTTTTATGTCTTTTGGGATCCGTGTCGTGGGGAGAAAGGAACAGTGGAGGAAAGGCTGGGGGGGTGATTGTCAGATAAAATAAACATAAGATAAACAAATAAATGCAACAGATGGGAGGAATGTAAACAGAGCGGTGGCAGGAAGCAGGGTGATAGATCACTGAACAGGGATTAGATTTGAAGGCATGTTACATCTTGCTCTGCCGCTGGACAGAAATCTCTTTCTCTGTGACATTTAATGCAGTGAAAGACTCATGAAGATTGTCCACTATATATCTTGTTCATTTTAGGTGGAGGTGGAATTTAGTCGAGTCATCTAGAAACTCACCAAAAATAGGACACAACTTTTACTTGTACAAACAGTTGAGACTTAAGATCTCAATTTTTTTGTCGTTGCTTACTTTTTTTTAGTGAGGAAACGACATACCACTGGAAAATCCCAAGACATATTTTCTGTGTTTGAGACAAAATATTTACTTTCAGCATGATGTATTAGAAAACATTGGAACAAATATCTAATGTGGATGTAGATGGTCAGTAATCAAAGTTTGGATTTGTTTACGTGCTTTTGGCTGTGAAACGTGCTGAGTAGATTCATTCCTTCCTTAATGTGAGCTTTTTAAAATTTATTTGACAGCAATTTGGATGCACCGTTATACTTGGAGAAATCAAGCACTAGTTCAAGGTTTTCACAGAGGTTTGATATCCAGTGTTTTCTATCACATGCTTATGCCTTTAAATGTAACCACACAGACCTTTCCCACAGCTAGTCGTGGGAATTTACAGGATTTTATTGACACCAATGTCATTAGCGATTTGTCTTATTGGTCTGTTTTTTTATGGATTCCCTTATTGATTCTAGATCAAGTTTCTTTGTGGAAAAAAGGAGGCCTACACAAGCTATATCGGCAGTCTGTCATTATCTAAAATAAATAATAATAAAGTATTTGAATTGCATTCGTTTTCATTGAGGTTCTCTTAGTCAAAGAAGAAGTCTGCTCAGCCTGCCTGCGTGGTGCTACACTTGTCAACCACATGGCACCCCTGGAATTTAAACCCATGTTGCGTGGAAAGATTTTTTAGCATATTGCTTTTGTTTCCACCTTGACTTGAAGCAGTAATTTACAGACATTACAAACTGCAGCACTGCTGTCATCTTTGTTGTAAAATAAAACCTTCCAACTGTTTCTTCCTCTCTGCCATGACTCCTCCTTGTTGCTGGTTTCCAGCAGCATTGACAAGTGTGATGTCATTGTTTTGCAATGCCCAACTGACAGAAAAAAATGCTGGAACTGATAAGCTTGGAGATGTATGATTGCAATGAGTGGACAATCTGGAACCAGTTCTCAACTTGGAACTGGCTCTCAATTCCCATCCCTGCATACAGCGCACATTTGAAGTGACCAACGACATTAAAGATCTCCTCCACTCAAAAAAATGTGCTTAGGAGGAGAATCTTTGAAAATGAGTTGTGGAAAACAGATCAGAAATAAATAAATAATAAAGCAGAGTATTTTTGTTTTATGTCTGAAAGCATGTGTTGAGTTGATCTTTGACAGTGGCTGGATTAGATGTCCAAGTAAGACAGCATGAACAGCAGAAAGTATTTGGCACTGGTATCCCTAAATGTTAATGCAGCCACTAGGGTTGGGAATCTCTCTGTGATAGACGATTCGATATGTATCTAGATACACGGGTTACGATACGATTCAAAAACAATATATTTTTAATACAGAACGATTCGATACAGTGTAGGAACGATACGATTCGATACGATTCTATGGTTAACATTTGTTGATGTAGACATTAATCATACATTATAAAATAAAGAAGCCAATTCTATAAAAGTGACATTCTTACATTATTTTCAAATTTGTAAAAGACCACATCCCCAAGCATTGTTGCTGTATGGCACCGGCAAAAATAAAATAAAAAGACAAACAACAACAAAATCACACAATGTCTGTGTTTTTGTATGTATCTTATATGGACTTGAGTCTGGAATAAAGTTTATCATAACGCTGTACAATATAAGCATAAAGCAGAATAAAACAATAACATGCAGTGTAGGGGCAGAATCTGACATCTCCTGTTATTAGCTGATATCATGGACTGTGATGACTAGCAGCTTATCACTGACAGCATGTCAGACTATTTCTCTGTGTTTGCTACACTCTGTCATTTATAAAAAGATAAATCACTTTTCTATAGTACATCAATGATATTTCAATGGAATAAATTACTTATTGACTTATTCATACTTCAAAAACAGCATCAATAAGTGATTAACATAGGGGGGATCAAAATAAAATAAATAAATAAAATCAAAATCAACCAGCCACCCTCCTCCCCTGACAAGTAAATGTGAACGGCTTGTTTCTCCTCTGACACGTCACATACCTGTGTGCTGCCAGGGCTCGCCTGGTATTTCTGGGCAGTCATGACACCAACAAAGACTTCTTGGACCTGGAGCCGGGCTTGCGGGTCGCCGGTAAGCCGTTATCATGCGCCGCCGTATTTGACAGGAATACGTATTTCTGTCTGTGTCCCCGCATTCAACCCACAACCGGCAGGATTCGCCTTTAGTTTCTGCTGCGGCTTGGCAGCTCCCTGGTTTATCCAACCAGCATTAGCTTCTGTTCCTCAGCTCCACCGGTCAAGCTGGTGCTGATGTTTACATCCATTATTGTTGTCAGTAATGCCTGCTACGGAGCATGCCGCCGGCTCTCGTGTTGTTTTCGAGATGCAAACTGTTAAAGTCAGTCAACCGATTGCTAGTCTCGCGATACCCAAATCCGTGACTGTACAATCGATTCATCTAAGGATTCATGGCTGATTCGTATCAATTGAGGAGGCTGCTACCGACACAGCCGTATCTCTCGCTTGTCAAACCGGATATCTGGTCGTATCGGTTAATCGTTCCCAACCCTAGCAGCCACCATTGGAGTTTGGACATTGACTGGAAATATAAATCTCAGTGTCGTCAGCGTAAAAATGGACACTAACTGTCAATTAACAACAGAGCCTCTGAACCTCAAAAAAATCTAATTTTTGCAAAACCTTTATAAAGTTTAAGTTTAATACAGTTGGCTTAAAAACAACATCAATGAGCTGGAAAGGGATTTGTGGTTTAGTGAAATTAAACCTGATCGGTTATTGCAGATCTGATGAGGTTCTTTACATCTGACTCGTGGGTCTAAAGCTAAAGGTTGTTGTATCCTGTAAAGTTTGTGAGGCCTTTGGACTTTTATAAATAAAACTGACTTGACTTTATTTGGCTTTAGGATATTTTATTCTGGTATAATTATACTATTTGCCCTGTTATGAATACAGCAGTGAGCATGGATCAGGGCTTTGGTGGGAGTCCTCAGACTGACTGCAGCACCTGTCCGTCTTGTGTAATTGTGTTTTTATTTCTCAGCCAACATTCAGATGAACTCTCCAAAACCTGTAAAATGGGTCACAGGATGACATCTGTCATCAGTCCCATATACCATGAGCACAGTATGTGTTCCCCATTGTGTAATACAGTTATCACAGCAGCGTTCACACTAGTGAACTCAAAGTCAGGATGTAAAATGGGTCATGAGTTTTACTGTGAGGGGTCCACACATAACAGGAAAACAGCATGTAGTCATGTGTTTCACAGTGAGTGAGACATTCACTGCAGAGAATAAAATAATCCATGACATTACTTATGATAAATTTTTAATGTATCTTTTTTTTTTTGCATTGAATCTCTCTTCATCTCTCTTTTTGTTTTTGTTCAGGTGAGCAATGGATTCTTCACGTGGGGAAGCAACCTGTCCACGCTGTCAGACATCAACATCCGCATCCCCACAGGTAGGACCGATCATTTCACCACACAATAAGTTGCGTACAGCCAAGCTTAGATTCACTGATTCATCAGGAATTGATTATATATATTTTAAAGATTTAGTAATATCACATAGCCCAATAAAGTTGCCAACAGATTCAGTGAATTTGATAAAAATAAATGCAAGTAAGGTCCTTATGTCTAGAAAAAATGAACAATAAGCATATGTATTTGTAGGAGAAGTACCTTCTGAAAATGGAAATAATTGATCGTAATAAAATTGTATTTAAAAAAGAAAAAAGTACGAAGGCATTTTATTGTAATAAACATCTTTATATTTCATTTTTCTAAATCAAGTTTGTTCCAACAAAGTCTTACTACAGGGTTCATACTGACATTACAACGTAAAATTTCAATTGAATTTTTAAGCTTTGAATTTTTTCTTTTTCTCTAAGGACTTCACTCAAAGTGAATGATTCATTTTCAAATATGAATTTCATTTAACGTAAATTAAATATGAAAATGTGATCTATGTTTCTTATGCCTCCGCGACGTTGATAGTCGTGGCTGGAGGCATTATTACTTCAGGTTGTCCATCTATTCTGTTCTTGTGAACATGATATCTCAAGAACATCTTGAGGGAGTTTCTTCTCAAACATCCACTTGGACTCAATGATGAATTATTTAGAATTTGGTGGTCCAAGTTCAAAGGGCATGATTTCTGCATCTCCTAAAATAAAAAATCAGTGCACACTGGTAGATGTTGTTGTGGAGAGCCGCCACACTTAACTGAATGTGTGGGAAACCCTGATGTCAATAGCTTGATTAATGCAGTAAACATAATCACGACCAAGTGTTGTAATTTTAGAAGCTCCAACAGCTGTTCTCTTCTGGGGTTGCCCAAAAAGACCGCCAGTATGATGACACCAGCTGCCTATGAATTTGTTAAGAGTGGCCGTGTTCTCAACTAGTTTTCTAGGTTATAAATCACTTTAGAGTTTCTTAATTTAGTTTCTACTCATTGGATTAAGTGGTGAAATTGATGCTGCAGGAACTCTGTTAAAATGTGAATGAAACACACAGACCTGCTGTAAGTGTTACTGTAACGCTGCAGCGATGTCACTGAAATACCAGGTCCCAGGAGGTCAGGTCACACTGAGGACGCTGCCAACAGATGGACGTGTAGTGTATCACGCACTCGCTCACACACACACACTTGCATCTTCTCCTGGGAAGTGACCCGTTTGCGATCCCAGTCACTCTACTACTACGACAAACGGGATTTGTTTTCCTGCCAAGTTCTGGTGTGGTGTTATTCAGAGAACCTGTAGCGTGTTCCTGTTCCTGTATCTCTGTGTAAATCAAGTCGAGTCTTTCATAACGAGGACTTTTCAGAGTGAGGACGTATTGGCTGTTCCTCATGTCTTCAAGGAACTATTTTAGTCTCAGAACTTAAGTTAGACTTGGAGTAGAGTTACGTTTAGAGTTGACGGTAAAGGGATAGCTTGGATTTTTTAAAGTGTGGTTGTATGAGGTACTTGTACACGGTCAGTGTATTACTGACAGTAGATGGCGCCACTGTGGACGTGGGCAGCAGCAAAACATATTTTAGCCACATAAAAAAATCAGTGTCAGTTTAAGTTTACGCTATACTAAGAATATTTGTACTGCTTTACCTCGCCATCAGACATATCGCTCTGTTTAAAGCCACCAGACTCCACTGACTAAAACATTAATTCAGTTAGGACTACTTTAGCCAAAGAAAAGTTTATTTTCCTGAGCGAAAAAAAAAAAAGTCCAAAAAAGTTAATAACTTACAAATTATGGCGAAAAGGTAGTTTCTTACAACCCTAGAATTAAGATAAAAATATTCACAAACGAAAAAACACTGGTTGATTATAAGTAGTGTTTAACTTTTGATTTTTAACACTAAAAATTAAAACCCTCGGCGCGCACTGCAGTGCAAGCAGACAGATGCGCTACTCAGAGCAGCATGTGTCACTGACACCAGACTCAGAGCTCAGTGGACCAGTGGAAAATGTCACCATCAGCATAATATTTTACATCAATAAAATCTATTTTATCATTATTTTGAGTCACATTGTTGAAAGAATGTGGTCGTCTGTGTTCAAGCAGGATAATAGGTCTCCATTCACTGCACGTCGGGCTTTCTATTTCCTTGTCAGAGATGTTTTCTTTTTTAATTACATGATAGCTGTTCTCCCTTAACTCACCAGTAAAGAATACCTTTGTCCATTTCAAATAACCCGTGGCAGTAATAATATCCCTGTTCTCTGATTTACTGTGAAACTTTTTTAGGCAATTCATGCAACAATCAGACCAGATGACTTCTTTACTCTGCCTAATGGGGCCGGCCTTTATTTGTCAACCAACCAAAAACAATCAATCAATTAAAAACACAAACTGGAACTGGAACATGAAATCTTACATGCCTAACAGACATTGCTTCTCGTTCTTTGAGTTTACATTAGTCTCGCCACCATACAATCAGAGATCTCCGCCTTCTGATAGTCTGGGGACACTCCTTTCTAAAGTGTGTTTAACACACCGGAGAAAACAGCCGGCAACAAAGCAACGCCTCTTGCATTTTTGAAAAGGACACGCCCTCCCGGAAATGTGCGCTCCCCCTTTTCTCGTCCACAAGGAAACAAACACACAGAGAGCTTGAAAATGAATGCCGAGAGATTTAACTCTGTTTTATGAAACGTGTGCTCAGTCCACAAGATTGTGGAAATGAAGGACTTACAGCGACTTTGTTTAAAACTTTTAACGCAGTTGGACTATGTTTAGGAGCACAAGAGTTCAGCGAGCCACCGAAGGACCGCCCTGCGGATTTACTATTGGTTCTGCAACGTAGGGAGTTTTTTTAAACTCTGAAATTGTATCCGCCCATCTAAACACAAAATCAGGGAGAAAGTCATCAGTCTTTAGTTAAGCAAAGCGTCTAAAGACTGACTTGTGAGTCTAGTTTACATATGGCCAAAGGGGGAAAAAAACAACCGTCAACGGACGGCATGATTAGTGTTGCGTTCAGGGTCCCCCAAAAAAATGGAAGAAAAAAAGGCTGAATATTCAAAAAAATAATTTTTTCACAATCGAATCCTGTGCCATCGAACAAAGCTTCGAATTTTTTGGGTCAGTCCTAAATCCCACGTGTAAGGGGCTAGCCATAAGGTTGTTGTTTTCAGCAAGTTGGCCTTGAATAGTTGATGTTGAGCTGTAGAGCTGTGTTACTTGTTATGACCTAAGGTGTATTTTAATAAACCTGTCTTTGGTTTAATTTATTCTTTCAAGCTTTATTCCTTCTCATCTTACCTGAGTTCTGTTGTATGTTTGTGCTTCATAGATTTAATTGCAAGCTACAACTGTTTAGTAAGTTAAAGATGTGTTGCTGCTAATGACAGCTTGAAGTGGCGATGAGGTCTTAAGGTTTTTTGGAAGGTCTTAAAAAAGTCTTAAAAAGGTATTGAAATTAACCTCAGGATTCCTGCATATACCCTGATACACTAACTCTGGATAAATACAGTCATACAACCCCACTTCAAATAATCTGATCTATCACTCTAAGCATGCAGTGCTGGGGGTTAAATTTAGGGGATAAGGAATGAGTGAGGTCACTGAAGAGATTGAATTGCAAGGATTTGTATGTGTGTTTGGTTTTTAAGAACCAACATCAGGACTCTGTTTGAGCTTCTCATGTGTGTGTGTGTGTGTGTGTGTGTGTGTGTGTGTGTGAAGTTAAAGACTTTCCCTAACTCTTAAACTTTAATCTTTAACAGAGAGATCAGTAAGTGTTGTGTTGTTGTAGAGTATCAGTCTGTTGTAGGGTTCCTCGACCTTTTCTGACCTTTGACTCCACTTTTAGGTCACAAAATTCTCATGGCCCCAGTGTGTGTGTGTGTGTGATGTCGTGCATTCTGCTTTTACAAGTATGCACACAGTGTTGACATATTACAGTTAGATTTTAAATAAATTAAGATGTATATTAATGGTCATTACGTGACCTCACATGGGATCCCAAGCCAAAAGTCATAAATTGTATTATATCCACATAGTTGTTTGTTATATTATAGCAGGACAACATCCACAATAACATTCTAAACCTCTTCGATCTGTTCAGGTCAGCTGACGATGATTGTAGGCCAGGTGGGTTGTGGGAAATCCTCCCTGCTGCTGGCCATGCTGGGCGAGATGCAGACCATCGATGGAAGAGTCTACTGGAGCAAGTAAGACAACACGACACCACTTTGTGGAGCACAGTATCTTATGTCATGTGCAAAGAGTTTTCTCTGGTGTTATTTAGGACCCAAACCAGAAGTTATATCTTTACTTTAAGCTGAGATAGTTTCCACTCAAGATTAGGGGATGGAAAATGGTGCAGATACTTAAAGTGTATGTAAGTTCTGTGGTAGCTCGTTTCCGACAGTGTGATGGAAAAAAGAAGATCTTGTAAGTCATTAGCTGTTTGTCTTTGGAAGGACATTTTCATAACTTTCTACATTTTGTGCCACTTTATCAATTCTGTACTTTGTTTTTCTTTCCAATGTTACTACCACGGTGTCTACAGGTCAATGTCTATAGACCACAGTGACTTTTACAGCACAATAACATACAGAGACTATTTATTTTATATGTAATTAATGTATTGTTTTGGTGTTTGCAAAGTACACTTTATTATACTCATCACACATCTGATTACACACAGTTCTTGTTTTATATTTCAAGTTATTGCTTGGATAATTTGCTGTGATATTACTTATATTACCATGTTGTTTGCTGACAGAGGGAAAGACTCTGTCCATTAGCATCGAGTGTCTGAGAACAGTTTTCAGTATGATTTGATTTACCGCTCTGATGGTAATAATAAGATTAAGAGACTGTTTGGACTATTGAATCTATTCACTTTTCTTGCATATAATATGAAACTCAGTCATCGTCACATTTCACCACATTTTAAAGGAATATGTTCTCAGCTGAATGTAACTGCTGTTCAGTAGATGAGCCGTTTATTATGAAATTATCACGTCAGTGTCGTTATCAGCATTATTATTTTTTTGTCTCTTTCCATGGCAACAGTCAGATTAGCTGCAATCTCACACAATGGCACACCACAACAGATTGTAAGAGCCATTAAATCAATGTTGACTCAGTGATAGTGAGAAGAGATGACATTATTCTCACAGTGAAGGTCAGATGCACAGCAGTGAGCAGTCTAACATGAATGCCGCCATCACTTTGTTATACAGTAAATATCTATATTACTGAGCTGGACTATAACAAGCCAACAGCCCTCTTTCCCTTCATAGATCTTCCTCTTCAGTACCTTTTTACCCTGTTTTTTGAGTCAGGGTTATTTGGTAAATGCATATTGGAAGGACTTTTGATGCTAATAAAACATCAGACCTCTTGTGATTAAAAAAATAAGCATCTAAGATAACTTCTGTTGCCAGTTTTGATGAATAAAAAAATTGTAGGTTCCCTGATTCAGTGAGTACCATAAGTCAGCAAAAGCAAGACACAAGTAGTCCATTAAAACTGGGGGAGGCAGTTTCCTGGATAAAGACAGATAAAGAAAAGAAATGCCAGAATTTGAAAATACACCCTCCTCCAGCTCCCCCTTCTTTGTCCTAAGCCCCTCCCACCAGGCGAGCACAGGTAAATGCACACCGTTCATACAGTAACCTACGCAAGTCCTAGTCATTCATTTCAGAATCTCAATTGTGATTTTGATCCTGATGCTGATATATTGCTGCAATTCTATGAGAATTATGTGGGCCTTAGCCACAGCTGTGAGCCTTTGGCTATGGTTAGCAGAAAGGTTAACTATTAGCAACATTTTCTCTAGATCTCTGAAACACTTAGTCGATACTGACGTGTTTTATTCTGCCTACATGCTGACAATAGCTGTAGCTGGAGGCACTATGTTTATGGGTTGTCCAACCGTCCTATTCTTGTCAAGGACTTGCAATTGCATTTTCAAGCATTGTACTTTTTTATTTTCAAGGACATCACTCAAAGCAAATAATTCATTTTTAATTATACATTTTCATTAAACGAAAATAAATGATGTGATCTAGGTTTTTTTATGCCCCTATGCCGGCGATAGTCATGACTGGAGGCATTATGTTTTCTGACTGTCCGTCAGTCCCATTCTTTTGAACGCAATGGGCTCTAGTTTCCCGGCGCGGCGCAGGGTGGCGCAGGGTGGCGAACCCCGCGCAGAGCTAGTTTCGAGTAGCGCAACCCGAGGCGCGCTCAGTTTGGTAGTTTGGCAGACTGAGGTGCGCTGTGATGGGTGTGGCGGCGCAGCAGGGGGAGGTGTCGACAGATCCAGCTTGGCGCAGTGACAGTTTCGTGCCAAAAGGCTTCGCCGAAGGTGCGCTAAAAGCTCGCCAGCTGAAACCAGGTCTACTGTCAGCGCAGGGGGAGTGCAGCCGGTGTAAGCTGAAGTTTGGCTGACTGACGGACAGTACGCACACGTCACCAAAACCTCACAGGCAGGTTTCCAGAATATCAGGCACATTAACGATGCAATAAATACCCAAAAAAACACTATTCAATGCAACTATCTGCAATCAGCACATAAATGTATCTCTATATTGACTGTCCCGTCACATCTGATGTCAGATCAAAGGCGATTGGCACCGTTTGGCACCGTTTGGCACGTTTGGCACGCGTAATGGAAACCTAACCTGATTTGATTAACACAGCTGCTCTCAGCGAACCACAAACAGCCACAGCATCAGATAGGGAGTATATATTCAGCATCTGTCATCTTAGAAAAGTCAAAAGAAAAGAAACAGAGTGAGACTGTGAGAGAGAAAGAGAGAGCGCGTGCGCACGAGAGAAACGCAACATTGATTTACAATTGTGGTGACCTCCTCCCAGGCTACCTTTGCATCATCAGCCCGTGGAGGTCTGCTCGCAGTTCCGTATATTCGGACACTGCGAGCAGACCTTCCGGACCAAAACATCAGTTTCCTCCTGGGAGAAGTTTGGCCGTCTGACGCTGCTGCTCTCTTCTGCCATGGCGAATTGAGTAAACTCTCATTACGCCTTCGCGCAGCGCATTTAAAATCGAGGAGAGGGGCTCATTTGATTGGTGTGATGTGTGTAAAACCCACTCCACGCCTTCTCTCCTCTCTCTTTCCGACTTGCGCAGGTAGGAGGGACGGAGGTGGGAAAGGAGAAGCTGCGCCAGGCGCACGGTGTGCCAAACTTGCAAAATCCGCCTGGTCACACCCAGTTGGCGAAGCGCAGGTGCGCTGCGCCCCCGCCTCGCCTGGTCTGCGAAACTAGAGCCCAATATCTCAATAACACCTTGAGAAAATTTGTTCAAATTCGGCACAAACTTCCACTTTTGCTCAACGATGAACTGATTAGAATTTGGCAGTCAAACGTCAAGGTCAGTGTGACTTTGTGTCCATCTCAATTCGTGAACGCAATATCACAAAAAGGTCTTGAGGGAATTTCCACAAATTTGGCACAAACATCCACTTGGACTCAACTGAACTGGTATTCACTACCATTATACCATCATTAATTTGGTAATCAAAGGTCAGGTTCACTGTGACATCATAATGTTTCCTATAAAACCCTTTCCTGGCCGTTATTCAACATCACAGCTCAGGATCAACTGAATCTTGGGTGCCCACCTCGAAACTGCGCTAATGAATCAGATCTTCTGTGGTACCAAGGAGAGGATGTGTGTAAAGCATCCATGTTTTTACGACATGGATGTAAACTGCAACTTGATGGGTTCGCAGAGGCATACAACTGCAAGTGGTAATTCTATTTTTGTTCATTGTCAGACTCTCTTTTAGATAGAGTCTGACAATAAAGTAGAGCCTATCTCTCTTTTCTGGGTTGCTATTCAGTGTAGGCAGTCGTTGGCAACGCTGGAATAGCAACTTTATCTGCAGTATTCTCCGCCATTGAATCAGGCTTTCACCATCTGAAGGGATAAGCACGCACATCTGCATTTGTAGAACAGCCAATAGAAACACTGTCTCTCTGAACTGACCTGTGATTGGCAAAAGTCTCCCGTCATGGCTAGATTTTCTAAAGCCTCCAAACAGAGCCAAGAGGAGGAGCAGGATTCTAGTTTTTTTTTCTCAGTCTGCTTGAATTACAAATGTGATTTTTGCCCAGTGATGCTGAAATAAATCTGCCTCCCCAAGCTTTAAGATTACTGCTGTGTCAGAAAATGTCAGCGGTCCTGGTCATACAGTCTTGCTGTGTGTTTTTAGAGGTTAGAGCAATGAAAATGATAAGTATTTGCCTATTTTCATGAAAATATTAGCAAATGCAGCCAAATAGTATTATGGCAGTGGAAGTTTTACTCCTTGAATTCTGGAAGCCTCTCTATACTTAAAGGAAGTTTGTACCTCTACATCAGACATCTCTGTTCAATGCTTATAAATCTTAGGTCATAATACTTCTAAATTACAGGCACACATCTGTATAAGAGAATCTGTATCCTCCAGGGCTGCAAACTAACCTTTGCAGTGTGTCCGTGTGTTGTTTTCACATGTGTCTGTGCCTTTGTACTTCTGACTGCATGTATATGGATGGATGTTTGGGTGAATGGGTGTGTGTGTATCTGTGTGTGTGGTTTCTTTCTCTTTACCTCCTGCCTTCTTGCCATATCAGGCTGCCTGATTATGAGACGGCCCACGAGGGGAACATAAGGTACTTTCTTTCTGGTCCCTTCTGTCTGAATTAATCATTTACAACTGTAAACATTCACATTTATGTTTTAGCCATTTGTCTAATTTACCGTGAGTTATATCAAGTCTAAGCAGCTTAAACCACCTGTAATCTATATTTATTCTACAGATGCAAAGGGTCAGACTCTGACATCACATTCGCCTGTGGTTCTTTACAACTACTGTTGAACTAAAAGCATTAAGCATTTGCCTTTTGTACCATTTGTACCATTTGCTGTAGCAGCACCCTCTGTTAGTTCAGGCATAAACAGTCACCCAAACACATCTTTATAGTCAGGAATACACCCAGAATGTTACATAAGTTATGAGCCATTAAGTGATGACAACTTAGACGGCTACAGTATGTCATATACACAGATCAGCCACAACATTAAAACCACTGACAATACAATGTTCTGCTGGGAAACCTTTGGTCCTGGCATTTATGTTGATGTACCTCACCACGCAACCCAAAGGACACTGCTAGAGGTCCTATGTCCATACCTCGACAGTTCAAAGGCCTCGTCGCAGATTGGACCTGGCTTTGACTTGTCACTTTAATGACACGACCCAAAGGATTCAAAGAATCCGCTGCCAACACCCTTGTGCCAGAAACCACAGGACATTCCTAGAGATCCTATGTCCAAACCTCGACAGTTCAGAGGCCCTGTTGTGGATTGGACTTGGCTTTGACCACACAACCCAAAAGAATCAAAGAATTTGCTGCCGACACCCTGGTGCCAGAAACCATGGGACATCCTTAGAGGTCCTATGTCCAAACCTTGACAGTTCAAAGGCCCTGTCATGGATTGGACTTGACTTTGACCTGTCGAAGACCTGTTGTGGCACAGACCCTGTGCCTTGAAAGGTCTGACAGATGCTCCATCAGATTGTGACCTGGGGAATTTGGAGGCCAAGTGACACCTTCGGCTACCTTCATTCCTGCCATCCAGAAGTGCCATTACCACCATCCAGGAGTGCCATTACCACCTGGTCTGGAATGGCGTTTGGGTTGGTGTCTTAAGTGCTATATTGTAGGCAACTGGACTTGCTTGAGGTTCTTGAAGACTCAGTCTAAAAAGTCTCATCCAAAAGATGAGAGGTGAATTTAGGTCAGAACTGAAGAATTTTCTTGGATGAGAGGTGAATCGTCTTCAAGAAACTCAAGCAAGTCCAGTTGCCTACAATATAGCACTAAAGATTACCATGACCTGGATGACTGAGAATCATCAACAGCACGTTTGGGTGGGTGTTTCATGTCAAATGGCATCCACCTGAATGCCAGGACCCAAGGTTTCCCAGAAGATTATTGCATTGTAACGAAATGGTCATTGGTATTCAACACACCTGTTGGTGGTTTTAAAGTTATGACTGATCGGTGTATACTTTGCTAGCTACATATCTATAGCAACACTTTCGTCTAACAAGCAAGTATACATAGATAATTAAGACAGAAGATACCTTAGGATGTGCAGTACAGTATACAGTGACAAGAAATATAGAAACCCCGCTGTTGAGTATCATGTTGAGCCCTGTTTGGGTCTGAGAACAGCTGCCATATTTGGCTGTGACTGGAAGGAAGCAGCGTGTAAGTTCCTCCTGAACTCTAAAACTGGTCCTAGGACCATCACAGTGTTCATCTAACAATGTTTATCTGCCAGAATTCACCAGAGCTGCACACAGTATATGCTTATAATTTTAATTAAAATGTACAGGTTAGGTGTTTACATAAATATCTCAAAAATTTTTAGGGCCTTATTCCAACCTAGTCTCACTCCCAACTCGTCAAATATGTTCGCTTGGTTTGTGGCCCCCTCGGCATCAGATACCAACGCAAAGAGGCACCTTTTGCTGAAGAGATAAAGAGCGAAAAAGTCAGCACAGCGCGGGCGAGAGGTGTGATTGATGGGGCAGTAAACTCTGAACTTTCACCTGGGAGACCGCTTTTTGTTTCCCGTGTGAAACCAAAAGAAAATGAACTGCACTTATAAAGCGCCTTTTTAGTCTTCTGACCACTCAAAGCGCTTTTACACTACGTCACATTCACACATCCAAACAGACACATTCACACACTGGTGGCCAAGACTACCGTACAAGGTGCCACCTGCTACTTGGTAACCATTCACATGCTCTCACACACCGATGAAACAGCCTTTGAGAGCAATATGGAGTTCAGTTTCTTGCAGAGGGATATTTGACATGCAGACTGGAGGAGCCAGTGATCAAACCGCCAATCCTCTGATCAGTGGACGATTCGCTCTACGTCAATCAAGTTATTTTAGTAACAACCCAATTTGCTAGTGAACATGACGTTACCTTGACTACGTTGGTAACATCCATCCATCTATCCATTTATTTTCATCTACTTTGAAGTCGGGTCAGGCCAAGCAAAGCACCCCAGATGTCCCTCTATCCAGCAAAGCTTTCCAGCTCCTCCTGGGGGATCCTGAGGCATTCCCAGGTACTAGATGAGATATATAATCCCCCCAGCATGTTCTGGGTCTGCCCCGGGGCCTCCTACCAGTGGGACGTGCCCAGAACACCTCTAACAGGAGGCGCCCAGGAGGATCCTGATCAGATACATGAACCACCTCAACTGACCCCTTTTGGCGCGAAGGAGCAGCGGCCCTACTCCGAGCTCCCTCTGAATGTCCGAGCTCTTTACCCAGTCTCCAAGGATTAAACCCCGAACGCCCCATGGCGGACACTAATTTCGGTGGCTTGTATCCACGATCTCATTCTTTCAGTCATTACCCATTTTAAGCCAAACCATGATGTGTTTTTCTAAACCTAACAATGTACTTTGGTTGCCTAAACCTAAGCAAACCTAAAAACAAGGTGTTTTTGCCTATGTTGTAAGTTTATTTTGAAAAGAGGCTGTTTGCATTTAACAAGCAGGAACTGTACGTTTCTATTTTAGAAAAGACACAGAGCATGTAATGAGTGTAAATTTACATGTGGTCTCTGAAAGTTCAAAACTGACAATGGAGGTCACCTGGAGCGTTTAGTCTGACGTGTAGGTTCACTGACCAAATGTCTGTATATGGTGAGTTGGGAGTGAGAACATGTTTCTCATTCTGTGAAGGCCTACTGAATATACTTAATCTTTTAACCCAGGACACAGTTATTACACACACCCTCATGCTCATAGAATATGAGATATTGTCGAAGAAGTTAGAAAAACCTAATTATCACAGACAGACAATGACAGCATCACTTCTATGGCTCGTCTTCTCTGGGTGGGAAGGTTAATTCAATTAACAGTTGGCAGGCTAACATCGTGTCTTCATTATCTGGTTTTGGCATAAAAACACGTCCATCTCTTCAGTTTCTTTTGTCTGTATTCCTCCCTCTATTCTCTCTTTACATGTTTCCTCTATCAACAGAAGATGAGTTTGTTGCTGTCTCCCTGTCTCTGTCTCATTTTTCTTACGTGTTTCCTCTCATAAACACAAATATACGCTCAGTTGATGACAGTAGGCTCATTCTAACACACTGACGTGACTTTGACAGTTGGTCAGAGACAGAGGAGTCTGAAGAAGACATCAGGAGGTAGACGTTCTTCTTCCTGTCTCCTGCTTCCTGTTTCAGATCTGAAGTGATCCTTTGACCCCTCCTTCTGCTGTCATCTGATTTAACATCATTTCCCATCTTTACTCTGCCTCTCTCAAAAGAAAGTTGGCTGTGTTGTTCACGGACACATACATGAAGGACATATTAGATAATGTCTCAATTTGGTATACATTTACCTCATTGTTATACCACAGTTTAGTCCTCATTTTCCTGATCTTTCACCTTTCATACACTAAACTCAGGTCAAAGTTATTTACAAAACAAAAAGAAAAGATATCTAGTGTCGGCAAAAAATGTTGCACATTTTTCTATCGTTTGTTAGCATAGTTAGCAGGCATTAGCTCAGAGGGCTAACTTAGCTTGTTCACTATTTTGTGTAAAGGCCTCTGTCGCTCTGAACATCCCTCCTGTTCATAAGTGCTATATCGTAGAAAACTGGACTTGCTTGCGTTTCTTGAAGACGTTTCGTCTCTCAAAAGCTTCTTGGATGAGAGGCGAAACGTCTTCAAGAAACGCAAGCAAGTCCAGTTGCCTACGATATAGCACTTATGATTGAGAATCTTCACCAACAAACCCCCCCTGTTAAAGTCTCAAACTATAGATGTAAAAAAAAAAAAAAAAGGTTGAACATTTGTATTGAACAACCAAATCTGATTCGCATGATGTCCTTCTGAGTCGGGCACAGCCCTACGCGTCTCAAGTTGCTAATCACATTGTAAACAGTGAGTGGTGGAATGGAAGCAGGAAGTCTTGGCCTGACTAAAAGCTGGCTACACCTGAACCCCCCAAAAATTGGCTGTTACCCTCAGAAATAAATCGTTGCCAGACAGTTAGTCGAGTCCAAGATTGGCGACTCATTGACACAACAATGCTTCCAGTGAAGTCAGTGTTGGCAGTATGCAACCTCAACCATAACTGGTCAACCATAAAATGGAAAGAAGATAAAGCAGCTATCCACAGTTGAAGCAGGAAGTACGATAACATTACCACCATGAACTGATGCAGAAACATTCACCATACAAAATACAAAATTAAGTGTTTGTCGCTCAGAGTTTCTTGGGGGGGAAGCCCTAAATGTTAATGGTAACAGTGCTTCAGTCATGCAAATATGACGGTTCTCCAACAGTCAGTCAAAGTTCTGCCACAGTAGCGTCCTGTTAAAATGTGTGTGTTCAGGAACAACTGCATCAGCCTTCAGAGTTTATTATCTTCTGCTCATTGTGTTGCTCTCCTGCCATTGAGATGATTATTATTGGTTTGTGCCGTTAATGCTGGGAGTCACTGCACTAACCCAAACACGCTCTGCTTATATACAAAAGATGTTTTCTTCTACACATTTAGACAGATACATACACACCCACACGTGTGTGTCTTTAGTCATTTATGACCATCACATAAGTGTTGTTATTTCATAAGGCTATAGATATATAAATAAATGCCGATGATTATATAATAATACATTTCACACTCAGAGAATATCTTTTCAGCAGTGTCTGAATTTTTCCTCTCTGTTTTTACTCTGCAATATTTGGGACAATACAGCTGTAAAAGAATGTTTATAGATTTTATTGTCTGCTCCACACTTGTGTTATATATTTCCATATGTTTGTAATAATGAGCTCAAATGCGCAACAGTCCTTTCATAATAATGTCAACAAGCTATATTAAGTGTTTCTTATGTAAGTGACAAAACAAACTGTAAAAAAAGTTTGCATGAAGTTTAAATTTTATATATCAGAGTTCTTTTAGAGACAAAATCTGTTTTGTCCCTGCTCTCTTGAAGCTCTCTTCGTTTTTCAGTGTTAGATCTAAAAATCTGAACAGACCAGACTCCCAGCAAAGTGCTACAGTTGTTGTCGTATTGTTGCTCTTGTTGATGTTTTTATTTATGTTTGTGTTGCTGTAGTTGGTATTATTGTTGATTTGGTTGTCTTTGTTGATGGTGGTGATTTGCAGCTCATCATTAACCCGATCCATGATCCATCTTTGTTCATCATTTCTGACCAAAATATTTTTCGCCTTGCGGTGGAGTTTGACATAATCCTCCCTCCCGTCCTCTTTTTTTTATGTGTGGGTGTCGCATTTATGAAGCTGGTTAGAACAGGAGTACTGATCTGATTGCAGATTTCCTCCTACGCAGTTTTCAAGCAGGAGATGGTAGTAGCCAGGAGCTGAAATGGCAGTTGGTTTTATTTATTTATTTTGTACAGTTTGGTTCGTTGAAATTTTTGGGGCAAACATTAATCAGTAGTTCAGTGTCTCCATTTCAACACTCATTCCCAGTAAGTAAATATACGTTGCTTAATATCTCTATACATGAGAAACAGAGATAGTAATACTGATAATAAAAACTAAGCAATAAAATACATTAAAAAAAAAATAATGAAATTATATCAAGAATGAATTAGTAATAATTATATAACTTATTGACATTAAGAAATAGATAAATTAAATAAAATAGAGAAATGGTCATAGGGATACAAAACCATAAGTAAAAGTTCATAAAAAATATATATAAATAAATAAAATTTGAAAACTAAATAGAAATACAATTTACAATACAAAAATAACAATAAAGGATAAGAGATAAAGTTAAAAAATTTGCAGTTGAATTTGTAAAAGCTATAGTGTGACACCTGAAATATTTTGGGATGGAATCTATGGGTAGAAATGTTGAAAGATAAAATTAAAGTAGTGAAAACATGTTGTACTTCGCTTTAGCTACAATAAATGCTGTTTCAGTCAAGAAATGTCACTGGATGAAATCAGCTGTATGTCAGTCAGAACTCCTGCTCTACAAAGCTTTATGAATACACGACTTGAGGTTCTTACTTGTCTATTTGCCTCTGTTTCCCATAATGCACTCAGCAAGAACAGATACTCTGTGGCCTACGCTACCCAGAAGTCCTGGCTGCTCAATGCTACAGTGGAGGAAAACATCACCTTTGGCAGCCCATTCAACAAACAGAGGTAAAAAATAAACAATTCAATTAAATTTTCCCTCACCAGTCGCTAGAGACCAACATATCTGCCTGAATTTAACTGCATTTTAAGTCCACACTGATGTGTAGCTATGTTTGCCAGGGTTTTTAGAGTAGAGCAAAGCAAATTAAAGTCAAACTACAATGTTGGCTGATATCAAGAAGACATGCCTTCTGTGTTGGACCCAATGTTGGACATCTATTAAGGCTTTTCCCTTGGCGCTTTTGAGTTTCAGCTCAAACCACGTCACATTGATTTGCTTTTCCTTTACTGGTTTAAATGCAACGAGTTGAGCCGAGTCGCGACCACACGGACCATCTCCGGAGTCGGGTCAAAGCACGCCTGACTGCCTCCAAACGGGTTGCAGTGGGCTTTGTCATCATTCAGGGACAATTCATTTACCTCTACTAGATCCATTTCGTCCTCCTGTCTCTATTTGTCAAGCAGTCAGAGGTAGATGATGAGCAAAATCCTGAAAGCAATCCAAAAAATTCAGGAGGAAAAATGGTTGGCTACCAATAAGTGTTGCACAGTGTGGTAGTAAACAGTGCTTAAAGGGAAATTTCGGTTTATTTCAACCTGTCTCCTATCGTCCTAAATTTGTTTCAAGTGACTAGTGACATAAAAATAATAGTTAGCATGTTAGCCGTTAGCCTAGATACAGCCGGGGCGCATAGTAGCGTCAGACCTGTTAAAACGTAAGTGAACGGGCAACCTTCAAGTGCAAAGTTAGTCCACTAAACAAGCTTTTTTTCCACAAAGACCGCCTCATATCGTTAGGATAAATGTCAGAGAACATATAGAAAACGACATGTAAACGTGTTGTCTTACCTTACCGGTGTGCTGCCATGTTTGTTTACCATCTAGCTCTGCTTTCCAAAGCGCGGCCGAAATATATCTGGCGAGCTCTAGATAAAGCCCAGCTGGATACTACTCCAGGTGGAGGTGTCTCGTCCTCGGTCACATCCAGACCTTGAAAATAAGGCTGCAACCGGTCCCATTCCTTGCAACAGAGGCATTCCTCTTCTGTGGGCACTGGGGCACAGCATTCACAGGTACACCACCAATCTCCAGAGCTACGCAGCCTTGCAGCAGCCATTCCTCCTCTCTCGTCCTCTACCTGTTGCGCCTCTCTCTCTCTCCTCCTCCGTTCTTCAATTTCACGAAGCTCTTCGTCAGTGTATTCTGGCTCAAATAAATAAGGGCGGCCATCAAACTCTGCAAAATCAAATTCCTCCTCCACAAAGTCGAAGTCTGGCAAAAAGTCAGCCATTATTCTATAAATCTTTCATAAAATAAATGAATGAACTTTTCAGGCTACTGTCCGGTTCTGCCTTCCAGCTGTTGCTGCTTGTTCTCGCGAGATTTCAGGCACGGTATGAGATCGCTGCTTGTTCTCGCGATATTTCGGCCGCGCTTTGGAAAGCAGAGCTAAATGGTAAACAAACATGGCAGCACACCGGTAAGGTAAGACAACACGTTTACATGTCGTTTTCTATATGTTCTCTGACATTTATCCTAACGATATGAGGCGGTCTTTGTGGAAAAAAAGCTTGTTTAGTGGACTAACTTTGCACTTGAAGGTTGCCCGTTCACTTACGTTTTAACAGGTCTGACGCTACTATGCGCCCCGGCTGTATCTAGGCTAACGGCTAACATGCTAACTATTATTTTTATGTCACTAGTCACTTGAAACAAATTTAGGACGATAGGAGACAGGTTGAAATAAACCGAAATTTCCCTTTAAGCACTGTTTACTACCACACTGTGCAACACTTATTGGTAGCCAACCATTTTTCCTCCTGAATTTTTTGGATATTTATGTCACTAGTCACTTGAAACAAATAGGACGATAGGAAATAAACCAAAATTTCCCTTTAAGAGGGTTAAAATCATCACAAGTAAAGACACACCCACAAGAGGCTATCCCTGTTGTATGCAGCGCTGGGTTGACATGACGAGTCAAACTAAGTCAAGCCAAGCCAGCATGTGTTTAGGAAAGGGTTAAAAGTTTCTGCAGACAGCTTGACAACGGTGTTAGTCCCATCCATGGTGCTGATTGAATCAATTGCTCTTTCAATCAAGAAACTGCAGTTCATGTCATGATGCCAGACCTGGACCAGGTGAGGAAGCAGGAAGACTTTGAGATTTTACTTACCCAGTGATGGTGTCTTTTCTGTTTTTCAGGTACAAGGCCGTGATCGATGCCTGCTCTCTGCAGCCAGACATTGACCTGCTGCCTTTTGGAGATCAAACTGAGATTGGAGAGAGGGTACACACATGTTTGATTTATGATTTCTACATGGTTAGGTTGAAAAAAATAATTAGATATATCCTGTAAATCAATTTCGAGAAGTTAAGGCCCTGACACGCCAAGACAACGGTCGGCCAGTGGTCAGTTTTTTTTTTCAGCATCTTGAATCGGTGTCAGGGATGGTGGAGCCTGTTGGTGAGAGAAATCCCTCTGATTGACAGTTCAGCTCAGTGCATTAAAAGAGAAACAGAAGTGAGGAAAGTAAACAAACGACTGAGGTCGAGAGGGTGTGAGATCTAAACAGATTTGTTAAAGAAGGTGAGATTACTTTTTTAGGCACTGAGCTCTTCAGAAATGGTTTATGATGGTTTGGGGTATTATTCGCCAGCGCATGGTGAATATCTTTTGTTCAGGTTGTGCTGTTAATGTGCCAACAGGCTAACTAGCATCTTGAATCTGTCCTGCTGGTATGGAGAGTCATTTCCTCTCACACAGGCACAGAATGAACGTGCTGGTTTGCTGTTGCTGTAGTCTTTGTGTGTGTTCAAGTGCAACTTTTTGGCCGTGACACAGGTGATGTGAGGTGACACGAGACGACCTTCGTTACTGCTAGTTCTTTGATGTTGGTTTTATGCGTCTGGGCCTTCACTGTCTGTAAATAGTCTGCAAAAACGGGACTTGTCGGATCTTTAAGTGACATTCTTACTTTTTTTTCCTCTGTGTTGCTGTGATTCAGGGCATCAACCTGAGTGGAGGTCAGAGACAGAGAATCTGTGTGGCCAGAGCTCTCTACCAGAACACCAACATCGTCTTCTTGGTGAGTTAATAAACCTCTTAAAAAATGTACAAAAAGATTGAATCTTCCTGTGTTAACACATAGTCTGTTTATTTTTTCATTTCACATTGGAAAGAACGAATCTTGTGGGCAATTTTCTAATTTTCTATCACCCATTAATTAGTTTAACATCCAGCAGAAAGAAACACCCTAACAATACATTTCTTTATGATTGACTGTATGACAACACATGGTGCATGTTGGCCTCTGGGACGAGGAGGTGTCTCACATCTCTGCTCTGCTGTCATGTGTTTTTCTTTCTGAGTGGTTGCCTCATTTCCTGTTGCCACTGCAGCTTTAATTGGTTATTAAGCATACATTCCAATTTAAAAGCTCTGTGTTGTTCTTTTACACACTCATCACTGTGATGTATAATGAGGGGATGTTTGCTTTAAGCCCAGGCTTCTCATATCTGATCTCAGGATTGAATTATGCATCATCGTACATCAATTAATCACAACTAGAACTCCATTACCACTCTATAGCACCGACCCACCCAGGAAGATGGACATAGCTGAGGTATCGATGAATAAACGGTAAATAACAGACAATGTTTAGATCCACTTCAGGAGTTAATTCAAGCAATCAACACAGGTACCTGTTCAAAGTTTCTCAGGTCACCAGACTATCACAGAGCTGACACACTGAAGCCCTTTTTAAATAGGAATTGTGCAAATTTGCAGGAAAGCCCAATCAGTCTTTTTCAGCATTGGCAGTATAAAAACAAAATCGGGGAGTGCGGAAAATTGCCACCTACCTACTTTTGTTTAATGCGCCTTTTTCGGGGCAATGGGGGGCGTGAGCAAGTAACAAAACATGTAGCTCAGCGTGTGACGTAAACAGTGACGTGGGAGGGAAGCCGCGGCTGGTCAGTCCTTCGGCAATTCTCTCGTAAGTCGGCCTGTTTTTCACCATCCCGGCCATCTGATGGTTAATGACCTCTTCGTTTTTGAGGGCAAGGAGGGCGCGCAATTCCTTGTCTCCCCAGTTGCTTCAACGTCCCCTCCCGTGGTGGAAGGCCGCCTCGCTCTTTTTAAATCATAAAGAGTTCGCCAATATGTCTACCCTACGAGGAGGAAAATTGGGTACCTCAGATCAACTCGCCAATCCGCCTCTGTGTGTCTAAATGCTCGCAGCTTGCCGGCAAAACGGCCCAACATTGGCTGAAAATCTGGCAGTGTGAAAGGGGCCTTAGGCCCTGTTTATACAACAACAATTTCAACTGAAAACGTTAAACTTTAGTTGCGTTTTGGCCGATTGTTTATACGACAGCTGCGTTTTGGGTGCCTGAAAACGCAACGTTGTGAAAACAGGTTCCAGAGTGCAACTTTTTGGAAACGTCAGCATCTCCGTTGTCATGTAAACTTGCAATATGCAGTTCCTCTGAAAACGGAGACTTTTCGCACATGCGCATTACGGTTCCAGTCACTAGGCAGGCCCACCGTCACAACAACAATGACAAGCTCTGTTTGTGCTGCTCACCCTGTTGATATGAAGTGAAGTGTAGATCTGTTACTGTAGCAACTCCACCTCGTCGTCCATCCAGACAAATTTATCTGTGTATGCTTTCGCCATTGTGTCTTCTTTGTTGTGGTTTGTAATCACCTCGTTGTAGAGGAACGCGCATGGCGTCATGCCGTGGTGTTGCTTTGCAAATTTACACTGCCACCCATTTGCCTGGCGTGCATACTACAGCGTTTCCAGTAGATTTTGCTGCTCCGTGTGAACGGGGATCATTTCAATAATGTCGTCATATAAATGCAGAAGTTTTTTAAAATGCAAAGGACAGACTTTTCTGTTTATAGAGAAACCGTTGTCGTCTAAACAGGGCCTTAGAGACAGACAACCATTCACACTCACATACACATTTATGGACAATTTAGAGTCACCAATTAACCTGCATGTCTTTGGACTGTGGGAGGAAGCCGGATAACCCTGAGAAAGCCTACAGCAATGTCTGGGCCACACTGCCTGTGTGAGCAGTGCTGCAGAACATCCAGAGAACAGAAGGCTTGCCTAATTTTTGCATGTGACACACAGGGTTTCAGGAAAAGACTGTACAATTGTCTTTTTTTAAAGATTACTTTTTGGACATTTTGCCTTTATTAGATAGGATAGTTAAGTTTTTTTCCCTCCTGCTGTGATGCAAAAGTACTAACCATGGCGAGACAGAAACATTATGTGACAAAAGGTTTGAACATTTTTTACCATTGTAAACTCTATCTGTGTCAGTTTAGAGCATCTGTCCCAGCTGAGTCACAAACTATGTGTCTACTCACTTTGAATCAAAACCTTCAGTACGATGATACACATATATCTGTACATCAGTATTTAGACAGCTCTTTACATGACAATTTATTTCTTGTCTCACTTATGTCCGTCTCTGTCTCGTGTCTCGTAGGACGATCCCTTCTCAGCGCTGGACATCCACCTCAGTGATCACCTGATGCAGGAAGGAATCCTCAAGTTCCTGCAGGATGATAAACGGACTGTAGTCCTGGTCACACACAAACTGCAGTACCTCATACACGCAGACTGGGTGAGATTTATTCTATGGAACATATACAATTAGCAGTATTCATCTCAGTCAAGCCTTAACTTTTATTTTTGTGTGTGTTGTCCAGATAATAGCGATGAAGGACGGCTCTGTGCTGAGAGAGGGGACGCTGAAGGACATCCAGACTCATGACATTGAGCTTTACGATCACTGGAAGACCCTGATGAACAGACAAGACCACGGCCTGGAGAAGGTACAGTGACATGGCTTCAACCAACATATTGACATTAACCAAATATAAACACCAGCAGTCTACATTCATACCCACTCATGTTTCACCCTCTACAGTGTGAATGTATTCAAAGCTTTATTCTGTCTCTGTTGTGTCTATGTGTAGGACGTACAGCAGGACAGTCAAACAACACTAGAGAGGAAAACACTGAGGAGAGCTTTCTACTCCAGAGAGGCCAAGAACCAAATTGACGACGAGGACGAAGGTAACAGATGAACCACTTCCTCTTTTAAAAGTTTTAAATTCTTTCAGGCTTGTTTCATGACCAACTCTTAAAATTAGTCATCGACATAATTGATAAGACATAACTTGTTAAAAAAAGAAGGATGAAGTAGAAAAGGTGTTTATATTGTGTCACGTTTGATTAAATTAAATGTCATATTCCTAACACCTGATTTTATCAGAGGAAGAAGAGGAGGAGGAAGATGACGACAACATGTCCACAATGACAAACAGAAGATCAAAGATCCCATGGAGGGTAAACCAAACACAAGTAGAGACTCAAATAATAAAGGGGAAAAGCAAACAAATTGATCAGTCAATCATCTGCAGGACGTCTGTATCCAGAGCAGCTTTACCTCTAAACTAAACTTTGAATCTGTCTCTAATGACGTCATCTCCTCAGGTGTGTTGGTGTTACCTGTCCTCTGGTGGCTTCCTCATGGTCTTCCTGATGGTGTCCTCTAAACTTCTCAAACACTCCGTCATCGTTGCCATCGACTACTGGCTGGCCATCTGGACTTCCTCCAAAACCGATCAGGCTAATACAGGAACAGACGCGTCAAACGGAACCAGCCTGGCTGACAGTTTTAGTGGGAACGGCACGCTGCCAACGCCCACGCCCACGCCTAACCTGGTGGATGAGGTAGAATATTTCTGACAATGGTTTTTAGATACAAGCTTTTTTTTTAACTTTTATGGGATTTTAATGGGGGATGCACCGATATGGATTATTTCAACCAATACCAAGAACCGATAATTTCACATTTTTGTTTTTAAATGAAGTGCAAACAAAGTAGTTTATTTACACCTGAGGGTAAGAAAGGCTGAGATGTAGCGAGGAAATCTTAATATAATAAATATAAATATTCCACAGCCCTGACTGAACCAGAGAGGTAACGATACAAATAATCTTCAACTGCAGCATCACATGTTTAGCAGTTATTAATAAGTTTAACAACAGAGTCGAGCCTTTTAAAAGCTCAGTGTTGGATGTTAGCCGCTGCTGCTGATTAGCTCGTGCTAATACTCTGGAGACGGTCCTTCAGCGCTGTGTCTAACTGGTGTCGGGCGGTCGGAGATCAGACCCTTGGCAGAGTCCTGTTGTCTTCCTCTGGAACTGTGAAAGACATCCGCACCGCTACATGTTTTACCCTCTAGACCGCATGCTGCAGTTGTTGTTCTTCTTTTTCTCTGTGTTTATTGGTGACTCGCAAACTAAGTTTAAAGGTACATCTACCACCACTCACTGTGTTGTATGTGTAGATGCTGCCCTTGTTAAAGGGATAGTGCACCCAAAACTGAAAATACAGCCATTATCTACTCACCCATATGCCGAGGGAGGCTCAGGTGAAGTTTTAGAGTCCTCACATCACTTGCAGAGATCCAAGGGGAGAGGAGGTAGCAACACAACTCCACCTAATGGAGGCTGACGGCGCCCCAGATTCAAACGTCCAAAAACACATAATTGAAACCACAAAATATCTCCATACTGCTCGTCCATAGTGACATAGCTTGTGACGTCCATAGGTTGTGCACAAGACCAGCGAAAGCACGTGAACACACATGAATGCAGTGCCCATGTCTCACAGTCTCGTGCAACTGCGCACACAAGAGCGCAGAGAGGCAGTCAGAGCTACAAGCTACAATGAGGCTAAAAACAGAGTTCAAATGAGGTTTTTCCAAACAACTTTTTATGTCGGGGCTTCAGGACACTTGGATCACTACGGACGAGCAGTATGGAGATATTTTGTGGTTTCAATTATGTGTTTTTGGACGTTTGAATCTGGGGCGCCGTCAGCCTCCATTAGGTGGAGTTGTGTTGCTACCTCCTCTCCCCTCGGATCTCCGCAAGTGATGTGAGGACTCTAAAACTTCACCTGAGCCTCCATCGGCATATGGGTGAGTAGATAATGGCTGAATTTTCATTTTTGGGTGCACTATCCCGTTAAGTCAATGAAAGCAGTCCGGCCTCGTATTATCGGTGCTATTTATTGGCTATAATTTTAATTGTCAGAATAATGCACAATTATAAAAATATCCCATTATCCCGATATATATTGTACATCCGTTAATTCACATGCTTTACCTGCTCTAAATCTGCAGATAGATTTCTACGTGGGCACTCCCAGAAAAATAGCAGAGTTGCAACTTACATATTTTAGAATTAATAACCTACATTTTATCACTATGCTGTTGTGTCACCTATTCAAATATTAAGATAAAATACAGAGTATGGATGTCCCGATACCAAAGGATCAGGACCGATCATTTTTTACTGATCAGGATTATATCGCTTATATTGACCTTTATAGAGCCTGATTTAATCCTTTGTTTTGTGTCAGCTGTCACACGGGTGTTTCTACTCGCCAAGCTTTCAGGGTTGGGAATCAGCAGAAGATCCATGATACGATATTATCACAATACTTAAGTGGGATAAAATGTATTGTGATTTATTACCTTTTTTCAACAGTAAATTATGTCCCCGAGGGAAACCTTTGTCAACATCTGTTTATCTAATAAGATAAAGTTTTAGTTTGTTCATCTCACTTCAGCCATTTTTTTGCAGCAGCAAAATGTATGTAGTGGACTGTAAAAGCAATTGATCATATCATTCTAGTAGGCTACCTACATTTTAATTTGTATTTGTCATATTAATCATTTATGTAATAGAAACAATTGATACTTGGCACTGTGATGATATAAAAAAATACTACGATACTATGCTGTATTGATTTCATCCCTGCTCCTAAAGCTTACATGCACAGTAACATGGAGTGCAGCCTTCGTCAGCTCTCCTCCACGCCGTTGAGCTCCTGTGTGTGTATAAGAGCAGAGCCTGAAGGCCACACGCCATTACCAAAAAAAAAGTATGACACAGTTTATTCATCATTTACTGACATTATAAGCACTCGTTTAATTTCAGCTCAGTGTGAGAGTCTCTTGTGTTTTGCTTCAAGCTATGACTCATGGTATTTCACCGCCCTGCTCAGGGATAAGACAGACGGCGGAGCAAAACTGACGATAACCACAACCACCACGCCACTGCAGTTGAATATTTCAATAATAATATGTGGTTATTGCAAAATCCCACAGCACACCATTTGAGAACCACTGGTCTAATCCGTGTAAAAGGTGTTCAGACAACAAAAATAAACACTGTTCATTAAGGTATCTCAGATGAAGGCTGCACCAAATCAACATATACTGGAGACGACTCTCTTAAAGGGACAGAGAAATTCCCTCCAGTAGCAAGGGCCAGAAAGTTACATTTTTAAACTTTTATACATACTGAAAATTACGGATTTGTAAGATTAAGTGTTGCCGTGTTTAAAAATATATACAAAGACAAACAGTATCACTTTTTTAAAACAATTAATCGCTGCTGAACACTATGCATCTATTTTACACACAGGCCGACTCCCACTATCTGCCCGTGTTTATCGTCCTGTGTGCGGCTGGAATCACGCTATGCCTCATCACCTCTCTCACTGTGGAGTTTCTGGGTCTGTCTGCAGCCACCAGCCTGCACCACAACCTGCTCAACAAGATCATCCACGCCCCCATCAGGTACCACCAACACCCAAAAACTGCAGTCCTCACTTTAAGAGCAAAAGAGGCTCTGTGTCTCCCCACATTCAGCTGTGGTGGGGTTAAATAATCGACACAGGTAACTTTAAAAAAGGATAAAAGACAGGAAAGAAGGACGTCAAACAAGAATCCTGTCTCCAAGGAAACACTTGTGAGTTTCCTCTAAGCTGTTGCACTTGACCTGGATTTCTGTGCTCATCCTCTGTCTCTCTGATAATGCTTTTTCTGTTGCTCTCGGTATGTAACCAAGGACAGAAGCTACATCAGTGTGGTCTGTTTTTGCTTGTGCCCCCTCCTTTTTCTCTTGGAGGTTGGCAGGTCAGATAGCAGGTTATGTAACCTATTCTTATGCCTCCACACTGGAGACAGTTGCGACTAGATGCATTATGTTTTTGGGTCATCCGTCTGTCCATCAGTCTCTGGAACATAATATCTTAAGAAAGTCTTGAGGGACTTTTTCCATATTTGGCACAAACACTCAGTTGGACTTAATGATGAACTGATGAGAATTTTGTCTCATTCTTGTGAGCAGCATGATATCTCATGAACACCTTGAGGGATTTTCCCCAGATTTGGCACAAACATCCACTTAGACTCAAGGATAAAAGGTTCAGTTATTGTGACCTAACCAAACACTTTTAACTTAAGAATTAATTTGCTAATTATGACAAAATTTCACACAAACGTCTACTTTGACTAATGAATGAACTGATTAGAATTTGGTGGTCAAAGGTCGTGGTCACTGTGACCATGTCTGTCACATGCTCCTGAATGCAATATCTCAAGAACACCTTGAGGGATTTTTTTCAAATTTGGTATAACATGGACTCAGCAATGCACCCATTAACATTTGGTGGTTGAAGGTCAATGTCACTGTGACCTTCTGTCTGTTTCATTCTCTAGAATGCAATATCTCAAGAAGGCCCTGATGAATTTTTTCCATATTTGGCACAAACACTCAGTTGGACTTAATAATAAACTGATGAGAATTTTGTCTCATTCTTATGAGCAGCACAATATCTCAAGAACACTTTGAGGGATTTTCCTCAGATTTGGCACAAACATCCACTTAGACTGAAGGATAAAAGATTCAGTTACTGTGACCTCGCAAAACATTTTTTGGCCATAACTTAAGAATTAATTTGTTAATAATGACAAAATATCACACAAATGTCTAATAAAATAAAATTGAATCAAATTTGGCACAAACATCTACTTTGAATTATGAATGAACAGATAAGAATTTGGTGGTCAAAGGTCACTGTGACCTCATCTGTCTCATTCTCGTGAGCATGACATCTCAAGAACACCTTGAGGGATTTTCCACAGATTTGGCACAAAGGTCTACTTTGAATCATGACTTAACTGATAAGAATTTGGTGGTCAAAGGTCGTGGTCACTGTGACCATGTCTGTCACATGCTCCTGAATGCAATATCTCAAGAACACCTTAAGGGATTTTTTTCAAATTTGGTATAAAATGGACTCAGCAATGCACCCATTAACATTTGGTGGTTGAAGGTCACTTTGAGATTGCTAAAATGTAAAGTGCAATACAAATAAATGTATTATTATTTATGACAAAATTTCACACAGATGTCTAATAGAATAAAGCAATCAAATTTGGCACAAACGTCTGCTTTGACTCACAGATGAATTGATTAGAATTTGGTGGCCAAAGGTCTGTCGCATGCTCCTGAATGCAATATCTCAAGAACACCTTGAGGGAATTTCTTTAAATTTGGTATAACGTGGACTCAGCAATGCACCGATTGGAATTTGGTGGTTGAAGGTCAGGGTCACTGTGACCTTCTGTCTGTTTCATCTTGTAAACCTGATATCTCAAGAAGGCCTTGAGGCAGATTCCTTAGATTTTTTATTCAAAGGTCACCGTGACCCCACAAAACATGTTTTTGGCCATAACTCAAGAATTCGTACGCTAATTATGATAAAATTTCACATAAATATCTAATGGGAAATGAACATTGCTGTCACCCTGAACATCCTATTCTAACCCTTAAACTCTGTATGTAAGAAAATGAGCACATAGTCAAATGTTCTCACTGAGCAGCCAAATCTGAGCAGAATTTGGCACAAACTTTCAGTTGGCCTCAGTGAAGAACTGATTAGATTTTAGTGGTCAAAGGTGAAAGGTCATGGTTGCTATGACCTTGCCTCTCAAGAACACCTTTAGGGATTTTTTTCAAATTTGGCACAAATATCCACGGTAAATCAAGGATTAACTAATTACAGTGTGGTGGTCAGAGGTCAAGGTCACTGTGACCTCATCTTTCTCATTCTTGTGAACATGATATCCCAAGAACACCTTTAGGGATTTTCCTCAGCTTTGGCACAAACATTCACTTGGACTCAGGAATGAACTGATTAGAATTTAGTGGACAAAGGTCACTGTGACCCAAAAAAAAAATGCCATGATAAGAATTTATATGGTAATTATGGAAAAATATTCACACAAATGTGTAAGAGGATATAATGATGTTTAAATGTCAGAGCTGGAAAAAAAACATCCAAAATGTGTGACTTAGGTATTTGATGTGTATATAACCTCTGTGCTCAGGTTCTTTGACATCACTCCCCTGGGACAGATCCTCAACAGATTCTCTGCGGACACCAACATCATAGACCAGGTGAGAAGATTATTTCATGGGTTTTATTTTGTTCTTATACATATATAATAATATATAATATGCTGTTATCTATAGACGACAGTGTGTTTCTTTTTGAAGTCGAGAAGAAGTGGTGTAAAGAGGCAACATCAAAAGATACATGTTCATTTTTACATTTTTAGTTTTACATTGTTTCTGTATTTGCAGTGTGTATGCTCTTAATGTGTCTGTATCTGTGGTATTTTTTGTATTTGTTTTGGATTTTTGTACATTTTTTGATTTGGTGTTATTTCTGAAGTGTTTCACGTTTCTCCCAGTGGAATTGTTTTGTAGTGTATTTGCCTTCGTCGGCCTCTGCAGTCATATGTAAACTAAAAGAAAAAGCCAAACATGAACATATTCTGAATTCATTATCACTTTGTCATCTATTTTTTTTTCTCAGCATATTCCCCCAACACTGGAGTCTTTGACCAGATCCACGTTGCTCTGTTTGTCAGCCATCGGGGTCATATCCTCCATCACTCCACTCTTCATGGTCGCCTTGCTTCCCCTGGGCGTGGCCTTCTACTTCATCCAAAAGTACTTCAGAGTGGCGTCCAAGTGAGTCTGCAGTGTATTTGTTGTAGATAGAGTGCACTGTTTTTTGCATTCAAACATTCAGGGAGTGTAGTTAGATAAAGTGAAGAGCATCTGTCCATCCCATGATTGTGAACGCGATATCTCAAAAAACGCCTCAAGGGAATTTCTTCAAATTTGGCACAAACATTCACTTGGAATTGAGGATGAATTAATTAGATTTTGGTGGTCATAGTTCAAAGGTCAAGGTCACTGGGACTTTATTTGTCTCATTCTTGGGAATGCAATATGTCAAGGACACCTTGAAGTAAGTTCTTCAAATTTGGCACAGACATTTACTTTAACTCAAGAAGGAACTGATTTGATTTCATTTGTCAAAGGTCACTGTGGCCTTGTTTGTCTCATTCTCGTAAACATGATATCTTGAGAACACCTTGAGGGAAATGTTATTTAAGTTTGACACAGACGGCCAATTGGTCTGGAGAACAAACTGATTTTAATTTTGTGGTTGAAGGTCAAAGGTAAAGGTCAGTGTGACCTCACAAATGTCTAATAGGAAAAAAAGTTTTTATATTATACATAAAATAATTAAATTTTATATCCAAAAGGTCAAAGGTCAGCTTCACTGTGACATCATAGTGTTCTGCATAACCTCTCCTGGTCATTATTCAACATTGTATCTCAGGAACAGGAAGTGAAGACTAATCTTTGGTGTCCACCTTCAGACTGTGCTGACTGTATAGACCTCCTGTGTGTGAAGCATGTTTTCACAGAGGATGTAAACTGTCAGCGAAACTTGAACGGTGTGCGGAGACAAACCACCACAGGGCAATAATTCCAGTTGATTTTGGGGTGAACTGTTCCTTTAATGTCCCAGCTCTCCATTCATGCAGAAAACAGCATACGGCATTCGTGTATGTATGAATGCCAGACAAATTTGGTACTGACCTGTTCGTAGTGCGGGTAGAGGACATCAGGCAGTTATCGTAATAACTACACATACATACTGTGAATACTGTTTCTCTGTCTCTCAGGGACCTGCAGGACCTGGATGACTCCACACAGCTGCCCCTGCTCTGCCACTTCTCTGAGACCGCTGAAGGGCTCACCACTATAAGAGCATTTAGGTACAACACACATGCACTTGACTTCCATCCGGTCTGCAGTGAGCACAAAGTGTATTTTTACACTCTGTGTCTGTGTTCTTCCATCTCACACGTTACTACACAGGAGGGAACTTGACATGGTTTCATATTCAGTCTCTGGAATCCTCTCCTCCACAGGAATGCTCTCTGCATGCCTGAGCCCAGCCCTTACCTCAAATTTAATTTAAGCTTAACCCTAAAGTAAACTTCATAAAGGCTTTCTCTGCTGCCTGCCTTATGGCCCCACATTGTGACTACATAAAGAGATCTACATGGCTCTTTGAATGCAGTCCATGGTAAAGATAATGATGATAATGCATTATGTATACAGTGTAATTAAGTAGTTTAGTTAGTTCAAGTGCTTTTACTCAGGCTGCAACGGAAAAAAGAAGTAACTGTTTGGCTCATACTGCGATTTAGGAGTCACGGTTCGGTGAGAGTTTGGTACAGTGGGAAAAAAACAAATGCATAAGGATCTGAACAGACAAGAGTGCAGTTTTCTTACTGACTGGAAACTTTGGTACAGAGTCCTGCACAGATCTGATTTTCAAGACCGAGACATTGCAGAATTCTCCTGGTGCGTGACATGAAAGAAAAAGTGTCGAACAAAACTTTTCTCTGTCTAAAATGCATCATTTCCGTTGAGCGTCATTCATCTAAAGTGCCAAGCGCCCTCTCACAAAGTAGCCCCAACGCACCATCCTCGTCTTACACACACCTCTCACTCTGTTGCTGATGGCCAAGAGCCTGCAGACGGGTCTTCCAACTCCAGCACCATAGTGTAACTGACTTGCAGCCAATCTGCTTGTTGTGCTAACGTCAGCACGTGTTGCTGATGGCGTCAGTTTACATACTGTGTATTCTGTGTGTGGCTGCATGTAGCGGACCGTGACCCCAGTGAATTGACACAGCCCTAACTTTTACTTTTATATTTATGATACTGCAGTGAGAGAAGAGAGACGCATGAGTCTCGTGTTGTAGTTATAGTTGTGTTGGAGGAAGCAGCAGCAGCAGCAGCAGTATCTCTTTGTATTTCTGTCTTCACCCTGTTTCCCATCGTTGCTATAATCCAACATTAAACGGCTCTCACGCTGTTTCTATCCTCTCCTCCCTGAGGACTTCCTCACACACACAAATATACAAGCACTGGGAGACTCACACACACACGCACAAGCACATATCATGCACACACACGCAGGAACAGTGAATCTGGTGATGAGACAGATTCTTGGCAATCATGGGATGGTTCCCATTATCATTATCCACTGGTCTCCCTCCAAACCAAGTCTGCTTTAGATGGCAGTGACTCACTGCTCGACACAGACGAAGATAAAACCACAAGTTACAATATACTGAATAAAAGTGACGACTACTAATCTAACATGTAAACCTAAATTTTTAGTTTAGTTTTTTTTTGGTTTAGGCCACAAACAGAGGAAAGAAAAGCCAAGTTCAAACACTAACAACACAGTATTTTTGTAAAGAGAATCATAAAATAATGGAAGGATGCATTGTATATTTATCTTATGAACGCTTTAATGTTGTTTTCAGACACGAGGCTCGTTTCAAGCAGCGTATGCTGGAGCTGACAGACACCAATAACACCGCCTACCTGTTTCTGTCTGCCGCCAACCGCTGGCTGGAGGTCCGAACGGTGAGAAACTGTTTTATTGTGTAATTTCTCACATGACAGGTGATGGCTGATTCTCTCATACATACAGTAATTAACCATTATTCAGATTTAAGTTTGGTTGGACAAATGTAAGGACAATAAAAGGCTCATTCATGATTAAATGTTGTTGCTGAGACTCTTGTAGCTCTTTGTTTTTGCCTCTCTGATATTTGGTTCATAGACCCTTCTAGGGCCGACGTCACATTGAAGTCATTTTATTAGCTGGAGGTGCAGCTGCCTCTCCCCCACAGGGCTGTAGGCTACACAGGAGTATTAAGATGTGTTTGTCTTGTTGTGTTATTGGGAGTCAGAATAGAAGGAGTCATGGCTCAAAACCAGCCGCCACTGCCCGTCGACAAAAACAAAGATGGTTAAATGTGATAAGACCAAAGGACTGGACGGAGGCCATCATCAAAAACGCTCACATGTGCAGCGCACACTTCATATCAGGTTAGGGAAAAAGTATTTCCTGTTGTAGGGATGAATAAGGTTATGTGTATTAAGGGTTATCATGTCCACCTCATCAGAAACTGGGGAGGGATCAAGAGGAATATTGGATTTCTCTGGAACGCTAACTTTTTAGCACATTAGCTAACGTTAGCTTCCATAGCAAAACAAACAAGTGTGGTCCTCCTTTGTAAGATTGGCTTCCTGCAGAGATGGGACCAAGTCACACGTGCAAGTCTCAAGTAAGTCCCAAGTCATTTTTTCTTGGGCAAGTCAAGTCAAGTCACAGGTTATGTCAAGTCAAGTCCTGTAATAGGTCAAGTCAAGTCCAAGTCAAGTCAAGTCAAGTCAAGTCACCTTATTATTGTAATTTTACCTGCAGAATCTGATCTCAATGAAGTGAAAAGACAAGGTATAAGTAACTGTCAGTAAACATTGACTTCATCGCTGCAATGTTTACTTTGCAGGGACGACCCCCATGCACACACGCACACACACACACACACACACACACACACACACACACACTAACCAAGGCAGCGGCCAAATCACCCATTTAGCTCATTTAACCCTGTGTTGCTCGTTCATAAAATGTACAGCCGGTCTTGTGATGAACCGGTCGGAATGTTCGCTCACGTTTTCTGGGGTTAATGTTAGCAAATAAATTAAAAAAAACCAAGTTCCACCAAACCGACCCACCCCCGTATCGTATCAAGCTAACGTTAGCTAACTACCAACTAACCAGATAATATTAGCTAATTGACAAGCACTTACTGGGCAGAATGGCTCTTCAAATGACGAACAAAGTTTGAAGTTGTCGTCTGGCTGTCCGAGATGTTTATGCCACATGTCTTGCACTGTGCCATTCGTCTTTTGTCGTCAGATATAAGAGGGCGTGTTTCTCCAATAAACACGTAAGGTACGTAGAGAGGGCATGACTGATTGACAGGGTAGTGATCCAATCATGACAACGCCATTCTCAGCCTGCGCTCCTACCGGGTAATCAACATTATTTTTTAAATTAATTTATTAATTTTATATTCACACTGAAAACATGATGTGAATAACACTCAAGTCATTCAAGTCATTGTGTCTCAAGTCAAGTCAAGTCCCGAGTCTTTAACTTCCAAGTCCAAGTCAAGTCTCAAGTCTTTTATTTTTTGTCAAGTCAAGTCACAAGTCATCAAAACAGCGACTCGAGTCGACTCGAGTCCAAGTCACAATGACTCGATTCCCCATCTCTGGCTTCCTGTGACATCATCCATCCACTGAGTGAGAGCGTACGGGTCAGCCAGTCTGAAGGGGTGCGCTTGATTTACAAAATAAAAGACAAAACAGGAGCAAAATTGGTAGATTTGTGATTCAGCACAAAATCTCAATTATCTTGTTTTGAAAATCGATGGAAGCCACAATCATAATTAAAAATCCAATTAATCGCCCAGCCCTGTGGCACAGTTAACATTTCTTCTTCTTCCTCTCTCCCTCTCACGCAGGACTACCTCGGAGCAGTGATCGTGCTGTCAGCAGCAGGAGCCGCCATATGGAGCCCGATGAAGTTGACCTGCGTAGGCCTGGTGGGCCTCGGACTTACGTACGCCCTCACTGTGAGTTCTCTCTTTTAAAGGTTCTTTGGTCTGATGTTTTATCATGCTGTTTGGCACTGACGCTTAGATATTTTTGTACTTTTAAAGAACCAACACATGACAGATTTGGTCCCAACAGCAGCAAATGTCTTTATTGTGTCTGTTAAAGATTGTGTGGGCTTACGCACCATTAAAGCAAAACAACAACTGCAATAGAGCGCCCTTAATTGTGAGGTTTGAAGAAGCTTTTAAGATCTTTTAATTCAGCTTACACTAGTGGTTCTGTGATGCATGCTGTGTACCACAAACTGACAGACACACATGAAACCTGTGGCCACGTTATATTGTGATTTGTGGGTTTTGGCACAGCCCAACTCCAGCCGACACATTTCAGGATGGCCTACATCAAATTATTCAAAAAATAGATTACACTACATGAATCGCTGGTGGTATCGACAAAGGACGGCCGTTTGGTTTTCTTTTTCCACTTTTGGTTCTAAAGGTACCAAACCAAAAGTGTTTGGTGGAAACAGGGCTTTAGAGAGTTGTCTGTATAGTTGTGGGTTTACACTGTAGATATAAACATCATCTTAACAATAAAAGCATGATCCTTTGTGTGTCGCTCTGTAGGTCACCAACTACCTGAACTGGGTGGTGAGGAACCTGGCAGACCTGGAGGTCCAGATGGCGGCTGTGAAGAAGGTCAACAGCTTCCTCAGCACAGAGTCAGAGAACTACGAGGGATCTATGGGTAACTGAGTTCTTGTTATCAAGCTCACGTACACCAACATCCATTCAGCCTTACTAATCACACACACGTGTAACTAGGCTTAAATCTCAATGACCATGATCATCCAGCTCCGCAGGACTTGTGAAATTATGCCTCTAACTGTGTTTTGACATTTTCATAACAGCCCTGATAAGAAGAGAACCACATATTTTGGACTTGTCAGATTTGATTTCTAAGACAGCAACACGAAGCCAAAATGTTGGGAAGGAGCTCACTGCTGCATTCCTGCAAAAAATTTTTTTTTAATACATGATTGCAAGACTTTTTAACATCTGCAGTATAACAGATAAAGTACCATAGGTAAATAAATAAAAGGGTTACTTTGGTATTTTTCAATGATACATTTTTAGATTGGTCCTGTATTGAATGAGAGGGCTGCAGCCAGGAGCCGTGAAACAGTCTGCTGCGTCCATTTACGTCCACGAAAGGTGTTTGTTTTTGCCACCGACAGGCTCAGGTTGTTATTCTAAGTGTCTGACAACATTATGAAAGGATCCCTACAGAGATAGAGCTTTGTGTTAAAGAGTAACATCCTTTTTGTTCGACTAGAAACAGCCACAAAATCACTATCTCCAAACCCACCAGATTCCATTTAAATAAACAGTCATTTTATCATCATAGGACACATTTCATTTAAAGTCGACAGAAACAAAATAAAACTCACAAAAATAGTCACTGTTCCAACAATCACCAACTCTGGTTTGGTTTAAATTAACTCTTAATTCAGTCACTTAAATGTAAAAAAAATGCTGCCACTATACATGCTAAAATGACTGTTTATTTAAATGGAGTCTGGTGAAACTGGTGATGGCAATTTCGGGCCACTTCTTCTTAAACAAAAAGGCTCTTACTCTTTAACACAAAGGTCGATCTCTGTAAGGATCCTTTCCATAATGTTGTCAGACACTTAGATATAATAACAATCTGAGCCTGTCAGTGACAAAAACAAACACTTCTATAGGGCTGTACCCAAATATTCGGATATTCGAATATTTGTTTCTATGGGTAGGTATTCATTATGAAAATTTGGTATTCGATATTCGTTTTTTTTTATTTACTTTTTAATTTATTTATTTATTAACCTTTTTTTGGTGCTAAATGTAGTCTTTTTGTTGTTGGTAAATGTAGGTTATCAATAAAAATCAAAACTTTTAAATTGCATTGTTGAAAATGTCTTGTTGTTGTGGATGGACCTATAACAATAACATCAGATTTTGACTGATTGAGTTGGAGAAAATTGTCTGACATCCAGTATTTTATTTCTGTGATACAGTTGTGGAGGGCTGCTATATTAGACTGATCACTGGGACTGATTGGGATGTACAACTGTGTGTCGTCTGCATAACAATGAAAATGGACGTTGTATTTACGGATGATGTCACCTAGAGGGAGCATGTAAATGGAAAAGACAATAGGGCCCAGGATCGACCCCTGGGGGATACCATAGGAGACATACTGGACCAAGTACATGTTTCTACTCATAAAAATGGGACAAAAGAGTGTAGGTTGAAAAATACAGAAGATACCCTTTAAGGGTCATCTTGTACACACACTTAGACATTAAATTTCACAAATCATTCACACACCAGATGTCAGTAGGATTTTGATTTTGAAGTACAAAGAGATAAAGTTGTGTTTAAAGATTTATAGGATGAAACAAAATGATTTGATGATAAATCAGCTCGTTATAACTGTACAGTGTGTGTGTGTAACAGTTTCATCGTTTGCTTCAGAGTCCAGAAGCTGTGTTTTGGGTTTATGGGATGTGCTGTTGCTATGGTGAAATAATACAAATGCTGCCGGGATTTTCTCCTGGCAGGACAGACAACAAAACAAAGAGACTTTACATCATCTCAGATTTAATTTATTCAGGTTAGTGCCAGTGAGTCAACTGATATCTAACCGAACCAAACCTTTACAGATCTTGAACAAAAAAGGCAAACGTCCAGTGAATCTGCCAGAGGACCTTTAATCCAGACAGAGCAGCTATTTCGGGAAGCGTAACCAAAACAATTCCTGAGTTTGAAGGATGGCTGGAAAAAACACAAAGAAAGTGAAAAGAAACCAAGAAAAAAAGCAGATTAAAATATTATAAGAGTTAACAGTAAGGTTTCCATCTCTGTGTCTCATATAAAGGTCCGTCGTCTTGTTGACTTTAACTTTCAGCCTTGTGTTTTACAGTACATACTCCCAAATCCCAAAAACTGAGTGACAGAGACCAGAAAGATTCTTCCTCTCTGACATCATGGAAGCTCCCAGTGAACAGATAAACGTGTAAAATTTGTGAGGACGAAACCAAAAGAAGTCGAACTATGAAACTCTTATCTCGTCCGTGTAGTAATATGAATAATGTGGCATATAGAAGCTAGTGTTTCCAAATATCAGGAAAACTACTCAAGTTTGAAGACAGTTGTATATCACCTGCTGTGGCTGTGGAGGGAGCTTTTGTAAGTTTTTTAAGTTTTAATTTACTCAACCTTGACTCAGTCACTTGAGTTTAAAATTTTCTAAGGACTGTGAAAGACATTGATCCATTAACGTTATATGTAGCACCACTTAGTTACCCAACCTCTACTGCCAACTTGCTGACACTGTCAGTTAATGCACCGGTCCAAAAACATTTTAAAGTCTCTAGCATTAGTGTTAAAGGAGCAGTGTGTAAGGTTGAGGGGGATTTAGTGGTGAGGATTGCAGATTGCAACCGGCTAAAACTTCTCCTGGTTAGAATTCATTCAATGTTAATTGTTCAGGAGGTTTCAGCATGAGACGAATTATCCACAGAGACATCGAGGTTCACCACTCTTGGAAAATAGTCCAACAGTTTTAGACGTTTGACCTCTATAACAGATATCACTACATGGGCTCAGGAACACCACTGTCAGTGAACATAGTTCGTCGCTGCATCTACAAATACAAGTTAAGACTCTACCATGCAAAGTGAAAGCCACATATCAACAACATCTCTGCCAACTTCTCTGGGCCCAGCCTCACCTGAGGTGGACCGACACAAAGTGGAAGAGTGTGCTGTGGTCTGATGAGTCATGGACGCTGTATCCTCCGGGCTAAAGCTCAAAGTGTAAAGCCTGATGGTATGGGGGTGTGTTAGTGCCCATGGCATCATGGGTAACTTGTTCATCTGCGAAGGCACCGTTAATGCTGAAAGGTACATACAGGTTTTGGGGCAACATACGCTGCCATCCCGACGACGTCTTGTCAGGGACATCCCTGCTTATTCCAGCAAGACAATGAGACACATTCTGCAAGTGTTACAACAGCGTGGCTTCGTAGTAAAAGAGTTCAGGTACGAGACTAACCTGTCCGCAGTCCTCACCTGTCTCCCATTGAAAACTTGTGGCGCATTATGAAGCACAAATTAGACAATGAAGACATCGAACTGTTGAGCAACTGAAGTCGTATATCAAGCAAGAATGGGAAAAGAAATCAGTCTCAAAACTTGAGCAGTTAGTGTCCTCAGTTCCCAAACAGTTACTGAGTGCTGTTAAAGGAAAAGGTGATGTCACCTAGTGGTAAACATGACTCAGTTTGAACATGAAATACTTTTTTCTTTGTTTTTTTGATTGTATTCAATTGAATATAGGTCCAAACAGATCGGCAAATCATTGCCTTCTGTTTTTATTCACATTTTACACAACGTCCCAGCTTTTTTGGAATCGGGGTTGTAGATATAAACGACTCATTCTAAGGTAGCAATAAGACAACAAACTTTATTTTCAGGTGCTTATATACTAGAGAAAATACAGTTATAATATTATATTTAATTTCTGCCAAGATATACCCTGAACCTACACACTGGACCTTTAAGTTGCGCAGCCCTGTGCCGACTTTTGGAGGCATTAAAGGTTTAATTATCACAGTTCTAAGTAACAACTTTAGCTGTGTGGTTGTGATGTCAGTGAGGAATCTTAGCAGTGCTTTAATAGGAAAACTCTTCCACTGTATATCTGCAGTGTTATGACTCACTCCATACGGTCTGTACGCTCCTGTTTACACCAGCCACAACTGTAACATAGACAACTGGCGAGCTGTTAGTGGTCTGTTCTTATTCTACAGACTCTCTGTGTGTCTCTCCCTGCAGAAGCCTCCCAGGTGCCTGAGAACTGGCCTCAGACCGGTGAGATAAAGATCCAGGACCTGTGTGTGCGCTACGACCCCATGCTCAAACCAGTGCTCAAACACGTCAACATGTACATCGAGCCCGGCCAGAAGGTAATTAACACGCAGCTGTGAGGACAGCGGGGCAGGGTCCCAACGATCAGTGTGTGGTGGAGTGAAATACTGTGGTTAATACTGTTTGTCTGCTAATAAGAAGACGTTGGATTTAGTTTAAACGTGGACTTTTCCTTTGAAGTCGCAGCCATGTGTCCGCACTCAGCATGTAGCTGCCACTCTGTTGTCACACAGGTGTCTGGTGTCTCACAGCAGTGTCACACTGAAGCCTATTTGACTGCCTCTCCTCTCCCTGTTAGGTGGGAATCTGTGGTCGCACCGGCAGCGGGAAGTCGTCTCTGTCGTTGGCCTTCTTCAACATGGTGGATATTTTTGAAGGTGGGTCTGTGTCCTGTCACACTGTTAACAGAGAGAGAAAGACAGAGTGCTCACGTTGTTTTTCCACTTCTTTCATCTTCAGTCTCTCTCGTCTTTCTTTCTGTCTGTCACTGATTGAGTATGTTTATGTCTCATTAAAGGAAATGATTCTGAAGATAATCTCTTGTCTGTTCATTGAAGGATTTCCCTCTGAGTTGTTGCCTTAAGTAGCTCTTGAGTTCTACTTTACCCTAAAAACATCTCTGCTGGTCTCTCATTTAGTCTTTGAATTAAGCTGCTCCCTCTCAGTCATTTCCTCTGATCTACTTATAAGATGAAGAAGATGCTTCAAAATAAGTTGCTGTGAGACAGGAGGGTGCTTATACCTTCTAAAATCATAAATCATAACATGACAGTTGAAAAACTTTAATAAACCAGCTGGCAGACAGGAAGTTTTCACTACTTGTTAGTACTTACGGTAGAACACATTCTCACTCCGACCTCGTCACATGTCGATGTTTGGTCATGGACTTTACACGTCCAGATACGATGTGCAAGATACCCTGGGTGTGTTGGTTGTTGTCGCTCTGGGACACCGTGTCAAGTTCTTTCAAAATACACTTCTGTTACACAGGAAATATAACGTTTACATACAGTTTCTTCCTCTCTCTTCAAATTAAAAGCACTAAGTCGGTACAACACCACAGATTGACCTTATTTTTCCCTCAAAAACATGTGGTTGGGTTTAGGTAGAAAGAACTGGGTTGGCTTTATAATCTTACGGGTGGTGTACACCACTGTCTCGGGTGAAGGTCAGGGTTTGTTGGACCCATCCACCACCGATTAGATTGGTGGTCAAAGGTGAAAGGTCACCGTCACTGTGACCTTGTCTGTCTTATTCTTGTGAGGGTGATATCTCAAGAGCACTGTGATGGAATTTTTTCAAATTTGGCAAGAATGTCCACTTTAAGTTGAGGATGAACTGATTAGATTTCAATGGTGAAAGATCAAGGTCACTGTGACCTCATCTTTCTCATTCTTGTGAACATGATGTCTCAAGACCACATAGAGGGATTTTCCTCAGCTTTGGCACAAACGTCCACTTGGACTCAAGAATGAACTTATTAGATTTTGGTGGTCAAGGGTCAAGGTTGCTGTGACCTCAAAAAACACGTCTTTGCCTTCCCTTGGTCTGTAATTTCGCTGCACAGAGCACTTGCTTTGCTTTGATGTGAAACCTCCGTTGTTTTTGGTCTTTTCATGAGATTTGTTGACAAATCGTTGAAATGTGGAATAACACCAGCCTTAACTGTAAAGGATCAGGAGCCACCAAGGTTTAGAAGTACTGCTTCACAACACCAGAGATGAAGTCATATGTAGGCGATCTGCTCTGACGTTTATCCACTGAATTAAACCATTACATACATCTGAACCGAGGACACACACCACCCTGAACCCAAACACAGCATCATAATGGGTTTGGTGAAATGAAAACACTGCTGGAGGTAAATTAGTCATCTAGGTTCCCTTCAGAAGATGTTCTGCGTCATCTCTAAACATCCACAGTCCACTCTATAGAATAGTAGTGTATGTTTATGTTGGAGAAAATGTTTATTTAACAGTCCCTCTTTACATTTCAGCTCTTTTTAAACACTCGTGCTGCTCGCGCTACGTGAGAATCCAAAGGTCTTTTTGTTCTTCGTTTGTGTTTCTTTGCTTTTAAATACCTGAGGAGAGGACCTGAAGTAGACTCCTCTATCAGAGGATTAAATAAAGGGCATAACAAAAGACTTGGCCCATTTTGGTGCAGTCATCTTCAGGCTCTGGGTCGTCATGTCTTAAAACTGTCTGTCTTTTATTTATTGAATTCTGAAAGCGAATCGTAACCGTATCTTTCTGTTTTCACTCTGGATGACGACGACCGCTCATAGACAGATTATTCGGACAAAGGAGATTACACAGTCACTTTTTCCATACGCGCGCACACACACACACACACACAGCCGGGCAGACGTTTCATTTAACAGTAAATTAAGACGTGTGAGTCAGCAGCATTTCCTTATAAAGCAGTGAAATAAAACCAGAGCAGCCTTCTGGTGATACTGTAGCTCCCTTCGCTGAACTGTACAGAACATTCTGGATTTCATTACCCCGAAAATATAACACTGTATTCAACAGAACAAAAATATTTATTCAAGACGCTGCAGTGTGAACAAGCAGAGGAAGTTCTGTTGTGAGGACTAATTTAATGGGGTCCAGTCAAGTTTTAAAAAAGGCAAATAAAGCAGCAGTGAGTTTGGTCAACAGCCAAAATATTCTGTTTGCAGAGTTCATCAGTAATAATTGGTCAATTATTACTTAACAAGAGTTTTTAAACCTCACAAATCCTCATACACACACACAGTCACAGTTATTTTAGGCGTGACAGCAATAAAATTTAAATCTCTGGCCAAAAGAAGAAATGCCAGAGCAGTGTTATTGAAGTATTTAGTCTGGTGATGTATTACCATTTGTACTGTGTGTGTGAGCTTTAACAGCTACACTAAAGTTTTATGATAGTTTGAGGTGTAAATTACATCCAGTAGTAACTCAAAGAGAAGGGAGTGCTGCAGGTTTTCAGCTGAAACTATTTTACACCAACAGTTAAAAAAACAGATACATTTTTTCATTAAAATTTTGTCATCTCTCCAAAAAACACAAAATATTTGATTAAAATTTGCTAAACAAAATGAATATCCATTCATTTTGGACAAAAGCAGTAATTTGGTGGACATTTTTCACGTTTCATAGACTAAAGACTGTTTCAGACAGAGAGGAGATTTACACCATGAATATTTCTCATAATGAGCCAGCTTAAAGCTACTCTTACCTTTCTTGCATTTCACACATTGGAACATCCACAACTCCCGCCTCCCTCCAAAGTCCCAACCCCCTCTTCCTGCAACTCCACCTCCCTCCAAAGGCCTACTCCCCCCTCCTCCATTACTTCCTCATTACGTCTATGACAGACGTAGGCGTTGGCATGGTAACGTTAGATACACGGAAGAGGAGAGCGAGTGTAAAGTTACAACCAAGTCAGTCAAACGCAACTCCGAGTTTTAGTCAGTGATGACTGATGAGTTTTAGAATAAAGTTACAGTGCTAATGTTACATAGTAGCGTTAACGTTACTAGTAAGTGGAAACACACAAGGAAGATAACGTTAATGTTTCAGAGGCTGCGCTACAGTAGGCTAACGTTAGCCATTAGCAACTGGATGCTGCGTTGTCATATATAACGTTATAGCCTATGTTACATTAGAGGCAAACTAAAAAAAAACGTCTAGCAGAAGCTCTGCGACCGTCTCGTCCCTCCATTAGTCTTCGCCATCTCTCGAAAGCAGAGCTGATGTTGACCTGAGTTTTGGCTCTTGCAGCATCGAGTTCTTTCTTAGAGGTGTTATGCAAGCGGTTACGTCTGTCGGAGGCCTCCACGTGGGGAAGACAGACAGGACACTCGGCCATTCGGTCAGAATGCAATGATTGTTTTTTTCTTAGAACCATATGAGAATGGTATAATTCTGAGTTTTTATCTCTGGTGGAATTCACTTACATTTTAGTGTGCCATCAGCTTATTAATAGCATTTTAACCTAAACAAAGAAATGCATGAAATTTCCAGAAAATTAAGTTGAAATTAAGTTTAAACATTTTCAACTCGTGTGGACATATTGAGAGATGATATCTAATCGTGGCTTTCCACTGACTTCTGCGTGATCTTTTTTTTATTGCCACTTACTGAACAGGTTGTGACGAATCTTAAAATCTGTGACCTTCCCCGACTTTCTCAGTCGCCTGTAACAGCCTGTGGACTGACTTTTGTGTAAAGGACTAAAGATGAATTTTCTGTGAAAATCCAAAGGATGTGACGTTGTGCGTGTTCCCAAGTGTCCTGCCTCTCCTCAGCTCCACCAGTGGGCTAACAGTAGCTAACGTTAGCTAAGAAAACTCATGTCAACAAATGTCCACACATGCTGTGTTTCCATTAATGTCAAACACTGCAGCGATGGCCAGGAGACCCCACGGTCACTCCCCGCCGCAAGGACATTAACATTATGTAGCCTTAGGCTCTGTTTATACGGTTCCTTATTTTTATGAAAATGGGTATTTATCTTTGCGTTTGCACCTATCATTCACATGCAATTGGCGTTTTTCTCAACGAAAACTGAGATTTTCAAAAACAGCTTCCAAAGTGAAAGTTTTTTAAAATATCCGTTCCTATGGAGACGTGTAAACAGGATAGACAGAGATTTTGGAAAACGATGACACTGCAACCCAGTTTGCGCATGCTCATTAGGCGCCTGGTAACCACAACAATAATGGCGGATATATGCCGGGTTGTTTACATTTTGTTAGCACTTTTGGGACTACTTACGAGCTTACAAATGAACTTAGCACTGCTGCATCAACATCACCGCTACATCGGCGCACAAAGACGTCTGCTGTGCCCAATGTTAGTAAGTGCATAGCAGCTAACTATGCTAGGTGAGGTTAAAATGTAGTTTATTATTGTTTCTATCACTAGTGCCAAGAGGAAAATAAATCACTGTGCATGCGCAGAAAGTTCTTCTATGGTGTTTGACATATGGCGTGTCGCCACCTACTGGCCTGGCATGCTAATTGCAGCAAAAAGCTGACATTTTTGCGTTTTCGTGTAAACAGGGATATCGTTTTCACAACTGATTGTGTAAACCTGGATTTTTTTTTTATACAGGATAAATAAAAAGCCATTTTTATTTGTATCGGTATCCATGTAAACAAGGCCTTGATTAGGGACTGCCGTCTGCTCTTCTCCCAGGGAAGTAGTGTCTTAGTGGCAGGCGGTGAGGTGGAGGGATCTTATTTGTGTTTTGATAAACAATAAATTCATTAAATTCATTAACCCCAGTGCTGAAAAAACAAAAACAAAGGAAACACTGATAAATAGAAATATCGGAGTTTTAGCTAGCTGAAATTTGCTAAAGTTAGCTGTGTTACTAACGCAGAAAATTTGCTAACTAGCTTACATAGCAATATGCTGTCTTTGGTGATGAATGTCATTAAATTCATCCAGACTCCAGGGCTGACCTGGTTGGTAAATTAACTGAGCGTGTGTTTGCTTATTTACAGGGAAGATCGTCATCGACGGGATCGACATCTGTAAACTTCCTCTGCAGACACTCAGGTCGCGACTGTCCATCATCCTCCAGGACCCTGTGTTATTCAGCGGATCAATAAGGTACACAGACACACTCAAACAAAGCCTCACTGTATCATGTTAGTATCATTGAATCTTAATGTTTCCATCCTCACTGACTTTTTCACCATCACTGCAAACAGCTTCCTGTGTATATTTTTAATCTTGTGTCACCACTGAGACAAGAACTGTAAACTGTGCTGACGGGACAAGAAAACACTCCTTATCCAGTAGACGTGAAGAGGAAACTTTGAAGTCCTCAATAAATAAACAGTTTTATTGTACACTAAGCACCACTGTTGGAGGGAAAAATTTAATTTGTACGTAATGCAATTTCATAATGTAATCAGAATACAGTTCATTCAGGTAACTAATGTTAAAACAACATTAACATTAGAAGCTTTTATTGGAGACTTTTAACAGTAGAAAGTGATGCTATTCTCCGTTACAGTCATTGCCCCGGCTGCATGGCGGTTCAGAGGCACTGAGATACAGAAGACCTGAAAACGCTGAAAAATCAGAGCAGTCTGGGCTTTTTTGTGAGGAGGGCTTAAAGAGACAGGCAGTAAAACAAAGTGTTTCAGGCAGAGGGTGAATACAGGTGTTCCAGCACAGACAGTTCGAGGAAAAGAAAGTGTTGTCTGAACGTTAAAACCTGTAAATATGTTCTAGTAGAAACACATAATTCAAGTATGAACTTTGCTCTTTTACAAAACCCATCTTTGGAAAACAAAGTGCTGAAATGTCACATTATGACCCAGATTTAAAACCTCTGTGATGGCCTGTCATATCAAGCGAAACCCAAACTGCAGCAACAAGTGGAAAAACGGACCGACATGAAAATGTGTTGTCCTGAAAGAGATTAGTCACATGACGACACACAGTCCCAGCTGTGGGGTTAATGGTTGAAAACCCAGTGGGAACTCTGCTTTGGACCTAATCTGACTTTTGTCACAGACGTCACGGACCGAGGAGGTCGTTCTCTCTCTCTGTCTTCTTAGCTGTCACACGCGCTCACAACGCTCTGTGTGTTTGTATAACCAGACGATACAGAAGACTCTGTGTTTGTTATAAAAGACAAAGAGCATGTGCTATTTGTTTGGACAGATATGCCGCTCTAGATAATCGTGCGTGTGAGACAGAGACGGAGAGAGTGTGAGTGTGTGTGTGTGTGTGTGTGTGTGTGTGTGTGTGTGTGTGTGTCTTGGCGTTTCCACCGGCTCTTGTTTATGTGAACGTAAGCCTGGGGTGAATGGTCGACAGTAACAGTTTCACACTGTTATCTTAGATGTTGCTGTTATGTTCCGACTCTGTCACACAGAATTAAGTGATGCTAATGTTCAGAGTAAACAAGGCACTTAATAAGTGTTAGATTAACAACTATGTCTTTAATCGCCTGGAAGCGACACACAGACACATCAGAAGAAATCTATTTTATCGTTTTGTCATTCTTTATTCTAATATTTCATCTAGTTTTGCTTCATTTTCTTAATTTTCACCCACTTTAGAAGGTCAGGTGGGTAAATTACATCATTTAGTTTACTCACTTTAAGTTCCCTCTGGAGGCTCCACATGTCTCCATACAGGATCTCACCAAGCTCTGTGCTGTATCAGCAGCTCCTCCAGGATTTCGTTAGCTGCTTTCGGGATTGTTGTGGCCTGAAATGACTGATTTCATCAAAGCTTTTCTAAAAAATTACGATGCGTGTTTTTAAGGTTTTGTGTCTTTGTTGGTTTGTTTTTTGTTGGTTTGCTAAAATAGTTGGATTGATGGTGGGGAGCAGCAACACCTAATCGCTAATGATCAGGTGTTGCTGCCGTTGGGCACTCTCCTGCTCTCTCAACACCTAACACACATCTTGCTGCATAGGAAGAAGCCTCGCAGCTGTGATTAACATCCGACACCAAGCCCTGATCTCACATCGACACCGAAACAGCTCGACTCTGTCATTAAACTTGTTAATGACCGACGGTTAACATTAGCCGTGTGATGCTAGCAGTTAGCCCTGTCACTGTGTGTGTGACTTCAGGCGCAGAGCGAGTGACTCAATATGCTATAAATATACAATATACAATGAAATGAGATTTTACCCGTTTAAATGGTCAGATTTGCAGTAAAATTGTGATGATTGGACAACATTGCAAGATCACACAGAATTCACAGAGATCGACAGAATTTGCTTACATTTTTGTGATTGTAACATTAGCCCCTTTTACACTGCCAGATTTTCGGCGAATGTTGGGCCGTTTTGCCGGCAAGCTGCGAGCAATTGGACTCACAGAGCCGGATTGCCGAATTGATCCAAGGTGCCCAATTTGTCCGCCTCGTAGGGTAGACATATTGGCGGAAGCTTGTTGGTTTAAAAAGAACAAGGCGGCCTTCTGCAACGGGAGGAGCTGTTGATGACTTGTGGGAGGAGCTGTTGATGACGCCGCACGTGTGACCCACTGGCGGTGGATAAACTGATAGCAGGAATTAGCGAGCAGCTAGTAGCAAGAGGGAAACACAAACCTGACAGACACTGTAAAGATGAGCAACTGGGGAGACAAGGAATTGAGCGCCCTCCTTGTCCTCGCAAACAAAGAGGCCATTAACCGTCAGATGACGGGGACGGTGAAGGACGGGCCGACTTACGAGAGAATCGCCGAAGGACTGACCAGCCGCGGCTTCCCTCCCACGTCACTGTTTACGTCACACTGAGCTACACGTTTTGTTACTTGCTCACGCCCCCCATTGCCCCGAAAAAGGCACATTCTGTATAAACAAAAGTAGGTAGGCGGCATTTTGCTGCACTCCCCGATTTTGTTTTTATACTGCCAATGCTGAAAAAAGACTGATTGGGCTTTCCTGCAGATTTGCACAACTCCTATTTAAAAGGGCGATTGTGACATCGTGGAGGAACTGTGCAGACGATGTTCTGCCTAGAGGCAAATCGGATCTTTAAGACAGACTGTCTACTCTGTTGTAATCAGATTTGTGCTTCCTGACATCACCAACATTCTGCATGGGCTGCTGTGAAAACGACCTAGGCTGCAGTAACTACACAGCTCCTCTGGTGATTCGGCTTTCCAGCACTGAAGGATCAGAAATGGAGGTCCATCATTTTTGGTCTCCTTCAAGTCCGGTAGAAACAATCTTTATGTGTGGTTCGTCCAGTTATTGCAGTTTTTTTCAGCTTTAGCATGTTCACAGGTTGTTGCTTTAAAATAGTGACGAATAAATTAAAGGTAGATGAAACCTCTCCAATGACTCCAACCCCAATCCTATTTTAGACATTGTCAACTGTATTTCTGCACAGAACAACAGGCACAAGCACCTGCTCAGCGCATTTTGTTATAACAAAGTGTTAATGACGTTCTCTCGTTGCAGGTTCAATCTGGATCCAGACAAGATGTGCACTGATGATCGACTCTGGGAGGCACTAGAGATCGCCCAGTTGAAGAACATGGTGAAAGCTCTGCCTGGAGGACTCGGTACTCAAATACATCTCAAGATTAAATGAGTTTTATTGCACCAGAAGTTCTGCAGGATACATTAAATATGATGAAGAATCAAACAGTGATTTAATATGTCTGTTTAATTGAACGTTTGTCTGTTTGTGTCCAGACGCTGTCGTCACAGAAGGCGGAGAGAACTTCAGCGTCGGTCAGAGGCAGCTCTTCTGTTTGGCCCGAGCTTTTGTCAGAAACAGCAGCATCCTCATCATGGATGAAGCCACAGCGTCTATAGACATGGCCACGGTGTGTGTGTGTGTGTGTGTGTGTGTGTGTGCCCTGGGGTAGGGAGGAATCTAGAAAAGACAGAAAAGACATGACGTCCGAATTTGAAAACAGGCATTCACACACCCTCATATAGCAACCCAAAATTTATACATACATTAATTTACTTAATCTTATTTCGTTGTCCCTCAACGTTTCTGTGTGCCGCTGCGGACTGCTTCCCAGAGAGGTTAACGACAGGAGCTCTGGAGTCAGACCCTCGCTCGGCGGCTGGTAGCGCAAACCCTCCACTGCCAGGTCTAACCTGTGTAACAGCAGCAACAGAAAGTTTACTGATCTGGTGGGAAGTTGTGTCTGTCCAGTCTACCGGAGCTGAGCTTTGTGCTGGCTGGATTCAGGTCTATCTACAGAGCTGCTGCCTGCTCTCGTCCTGGCGAGTTGTTCTGAAGCGGTGCAGATTGAGGCGGAGGACACACTGTGATTCGAGGCTCTAGCTAACATTAGCTACATAGATGTGAACAGGAAGTCGCAGCTGTGAGCCTTTGGTTCCTGTTAGCAGAAGGCTAAACTTTTAGCAGCATTTTCTCTCCATCTCTGAAACACATCACTGATATAAACACATTTTTGTTTTTGTTGAACTCTTTCTGATGAGTCCAGCTTCCTGTTTTGGGTTGCTCCGCAGTGTTGCTAATGCTGGAATAGCAACTTTCTCTGCAGGACTCTCTGCCATTGAATCAGACTTTTACCATCTGCCTCTGTAGAACAGCCAATAGAAGCACCCTCTGTCTGAAACGACCTGTGATTGGTCGGAGTCTCGCCTCGCGGGCTAGATTTTCCAAAGCCTGAAAACAGACCAAGAGGTGGAGCAGAAGTTTAGATTTTTCCCAGACCACTTCAGTTACAGTATGCTCGAAGTTTATTCTGGAATTTTTGTTCAATGATGCCAAAATTAAACTGCCTATCCCAGCTTTAAGTGAAGGATCTGAATACTTCATCCACCACTGGTTATAGCTATATCTCCAAACTCTTAGTACCTTACATTTCAGGATGTACTTTGAGGTCCTCGGGCAGAGGTCTTCTGTCTGTTCTAGAGGTCTGACTGAAAACTAAAGGGGACAGAGCGTTTGCTCTCAGGGCCCGAGTCTGCCCGAGGAACTCAGGTTGGCCGAGTCAATGATTTCCTTTAAGTCCCCCCTTAAAACACACTTTTATCTGAAAGCCTGTCCTGATTTTACTTGAGCTTTGAGTTCATTTAAACTGTCTTTATTTCCTCAGTTTTCATACACCAGTTCTTTTAGAAGTTGTCATTTTCACGTCTTGTCTGTTTTAATTACCGACATATAAAGCACTTTGTAACTGTTTTGTAAAGTGCTTTTTAATAAAGATCATTATCTATACAATTAAATGAAGTTAAGTTCAAATCTCAACTAGAAAATTTATATTTTTAAAGCACATCACTCATCTGAAAACACACTTTGCACCAGAACTACACATGTAAAGTGCTCTGAACAGATGGAGTTTATGTTTAAACCATAAGACTCTTTATTTATGTGACAAAAATAAGCAAAAATAACGGATATCTCTTTTTCTTCCTCACAGGAGAACATCTTACAGAAAGTGGTGATGACAGCGTTTGCAGACAGAACAGTCGTCACAATCGCAGTGAGTCCTTCAGTCTGTGCTCCTGTTGAGTTTGTCGTTGAAAGTGAAACCACGAAGGTTTATTTGACTCAGACTACAAACAAACTCCAGTCCTGCAGTTCGCTGAGCTTCACAGTGTATTCAGCGCTGATAGATGCAGTTATGTGGCTCCTTTTCTTTGAGCTTCATGTGCATCTATCGCTGTATGTTTTCCTGAATGGATGCTTCATACATCCTTCTCCTGCACCTTTTTTCCTTCTCGCACTAACTGTATTTCCAGACATTTTCTAATAATGTTAATATTCCAAATGCATTTAGCATCTTAGATGTGAAGTCAGTCCTCTCTGTCACTTGATCTGCTTTCCTTTTCTGACTGTTGTCTCCCTCTGTGATTCTGTCGTGTCCTCCGGATCCTTTCTGTCTCACCCACTGTACCTCCTCCTCTCCTTTCCATTTAAATATGTCCCTTTCTTCTCTTTTGTCTTTCTATACTTTCTATCATCACATCCTTAATTTCCTCCCTTTACATTTGCCTTTTCCTTCTCTGTTCTTCTACACTTTTCTTTCCCTCCTTCACTTCCTCCCATTTCCCGTCCTTCATGTGATCTTTTCCATCCTTTCCCTCTGTCCTCCTCTCTGTCCCTTCGTCCCGCCACCAGCACCGCGTGTCCTCTATCTTGGATGCCGAGCAGGTGTTGGTCTTCTCCTCGGGGATCTTGGTGGAATGTGACTCGGGTCCCAACCTGCTAGCACAGGAGGACAGCCTCTTCAGTGTGCTAGTGAGGACTCACAAGTAGACCCAGATCAGCACAGGCTCTGCCTGACTCTCTCCTGTCTCCTCCGTCCTCCTTCTCCACCTGTTACTGTTTGTTTTTCTACTTTTCCTGGCTGAGTCAGAGCTGGAGTCTGGGTCTGCTGAAGCCTTACTGCCACTGACAGCCTGGTTGGTATCAAAATAAAACCACTGCATGCTCTTTTGTAGATATTTAACGTACATGCAGGGCAGTTTGGCCGCAACCTGCAGTGTTGGGACATTGCTTAAGGTGTTATTAGGATTTAAAATGCCACCAGTATTCAGTTAGAGCATGTAAGATTAGCCCTGCGTCCACGAAAGACGTTATTTTATTGTTAGCTGTTAGCTGTTGTTTATTGTTAGCTTCATCTGGAGGTATCCCAGTTAGTATAATGGGAGATTTAGACCTTTGAACCTCCTCCCAGTGGACTTAAATATACAACATTGTGCATACATACATAGGTATGCCACTTCATATAATCCCTGATCCTAGCTTTCACCTGGTAGGTAAGGCTAACATGAGCTAACCATTGATGACCGGTGGGTGGGCAGTGGGCACTGTGTTTACCCATATTAGGGCCACTAGCCTGTCATCTTTTAGCAAAGCCAACAAAAATGAAATAAAAGGCATAAAAGGCAAGATATTTACATCACAAAACATTAAAATTTCTCCAGACACAGTGCCAGACTAAAACTAAAGCGCCTCTTGCGGTTAATGTGATTTCGCGTCTTTTTTCTTAGAAGTTAACGGGTTAGTTACCAGTTAATTTCAACATTCGATGTCTCAAGCCCAGTTCAGACGAAAGGTTAGCGAGGAGACAAAACCGTTTGAAAATGTTGCAGAGAAAATTAGCAGCGGTGTGAACTGGCTGGTCTGAGCTCAACTCAAGCCGGCTGATGGTGTCACCTCAGCCGGTCAAATCTTCAACAGCTGGTTTTAAGACATAAAGCGCAAATTATTTTCAGCCACAAAATAAACCTGAAAAGCTGCAAGTCAGAACAGAAGTACAGAGAGTTGTTGAATAGAGATAATACACCGTCTCATCTAGTTGACTTGGTGTAAACGGGCAGGTTTTTAGAATGTTACAGAACGCTGCATTGCAAGTAGTTTCCTGTTTCAGCTCATCTCGTGGCGAATCTTTGATCTGAACTGGGCTTCAGCCGAAGTTATACTTCAACCTTAATGTATCAGAATCCTTCACGAGACAGGTTTTTCTTTCTTGTGAAGGGTACCATGTGTTGAGTTGCTGATCTTCGTCAAACTTAGCCTCAAATCATGAGTCTCATAGAGCATAAAGGGCAACATCATCTGCAAAGAAACAGAGATCCCAGTACCACTGATGAGGACAATATCTGGACCAAAAGTGCCACAATGTCAGTTTTTATTTTATTGCAGCATATTTACCACCTTTATGATGTCAGGTTAGATGACGCTGTCTAGAAAGTCATTAAATATGATCATTTGTTGCTGTTGTTTTTATTTTGGAACTGTAAAGTGAATCCTGAAAAGCACCAACATATCAGTCCATGTTGCTTTTAAGAGTTTAAAGGCACTATGTGTAACAATTTCAGTTGTTCTTTGAGACAAATTTTGCAATCAAAAGTGTGTCCTAGCACATGTGTATTTACCTCCATCAGCGTATCAGTATGTCCGTAAGCTCCAAAATTCTCATTTACATATACATTGCGACCGGTGTCTCATCATGTACGTGCGGCGTCTTGAAAATACAGGTACGTACAGGGACATACTTGAGAAATAAGGAATTGACTTTCGCGTTTTCACTTTCACTCGGTTTCCAGTTTCAGCCTGCAGGTAGAGTGACGAAAAGCAGCAGCAAGCAGTCACAAGTGCCGGTGCATTTGAAAACCTCTGGCTTCATAAGATGGAGGATCATACTTATTCAGCTTCTTCACTTGAAAAGGGGACATCTGCAGCTCAACCTCACACACCTCATCCCTCTCCCCGCATCACTGCGCTGCTGTTAGCTGTTAGCCGATGTTAGCGCTAATAGCGGCTAACAGCAGCTCTGGGAAAGGCTACCCCGATATTGACCCTCGTTTTTTTAATTCGCCGGTCACGTTGCCTTTTTGATTCTCTTTACACTTCCTTGGCGACGAGGACTCCCGTGATGCTGCATATGCATGCTCAAAGAGTGGGGCTTTGTTATGCTGCAGTAGTGCCAGGGTGGTAGTGGCGCCGCTAACAGCGGCTAATAGCTGTCAGCGGCGCAGTGATGCGAGGAGAGGGATGAGGAGTGTGAGGTTGAGCCACTTGTCAGTTGCCAAAAGAGAAGACGTGATTTACACCTGCCCCAACAGTCCTATGTTAAAAACACAGCCAGCATGGTGAGGAGGGGGTTTGTCAACTTGCATCCATGAAGTATCGGATGACATGGTTTCATCAATGTTATCATAGCTTTTTGGTACACAGCGGCTATCGTTGTTGCAATACACGTTGTTGCAAAACAGTGAGGCGCTAGAGTGTGCTATCAGTTTGAATGCAATATACGATTTCAGCGTTAGACGGGAGAAATTCCTACACACTATGGCTTTAAGGCTCAATCGTGTGACCAAAAATGTAGTTGTTTTTATAACATCACCACTTTTCCAGACTCTAATTGCCTAATTGTGTCTTTGTGTTTCCAGCACCGTGTCCACACCATCCTAACAGCCGATCTGGTCATTGTGATGAAGCGAGGGAACATTTTGGAGTACGACAAACCTGAGACTCTTTTGGAGCAGGAGGACGGGATGTTTGCTTCGTTCGTCCGGGCTGACATGTAGACACACACGAGTCGGTCAGCAAGGCCCTAAAAACTCTCAAACTGATGAGTCGGATCAATCTACTTATTTTAGTTTTCTTAATGAGGCGGACAGACCTCTGTGACACTACAACACTCCAGTGAAGTCTTTAACAAGAAGCTTCTCAGATCCAGAAACATCATCTATCACCAGTTTACCAGTCGATAAATTGTACTTGAATCGTCAGTCGCCAAATAAATACATAATGCCTTTTTTAAACATAGAAATGACATGAAGGAACACCGTACGTCATCATATATCAAGTCCATCAGTAAGTTTATCCAGTTTTCATATTGTAAATCAGCAGATACACATATCCAAAGAGTTTTTACTATGTTAAAAAATTAAGATATTTTTGGATTATTGATATTTAAGCAGCCAGTATTAAGAGAGCTAAAAAAAAGCTACATCTACACATCTTGATTTTGTCAGAGATAACTTGAGCTAAATATAGCTGCAAGATAACAGACTAATATCGTTCTTGTGGTGTAGGACTGAGAATACTGAAAGAATATAGCCAAAATTATTCAAAAATTAATGTCAACAAATCCTACGAAAAGATCAAAACCACCAATCGCTACATGGACACTCAGCCTTAGTCTGTTTCTGAATACTTCTTGACTTCTTGTCTGTAGCTTTCAGCCCTGAGCCCATTGGTTCCTACTGAAGACTTTTTTGTAAATGCTTACAAATATACAGTTACATTTTAAAAAACAAAGCCTCGGTAATTTTCTTAAAGAGCTTGTCACAGTTTTTATCAAACAAGCAAGAGAAAACCGTGCATTTGTCAGACCCCAGTACACACAATACTTGTCAGTAGATACATTCACTAGTGGTTATGTTTCTTTTCATGGATTTGTTGACAATAAGAAAAATATAGAACATCTCCAGACTGATGATTTGAAAGGGACTGATATATTTCTCATTCTGGACCCTTATTTTCCTATGTTCTTGTTCCTAAGTGACGAATGGGAACAATGGGTTTTGAGACTGGTCCAGTGCTGAGTCAGAGCTGCAATGTGATGACTCGGAGCATAAGATATGCACCATTAATGTGCGTCCACTATAAGTGTTTTTGTCACTGACACGCTCAGATTACTCTGAGTTTCTGACACCATTATGGAAAGGATCCCTAGAAGAGATAGACCTTTTTGTTTAACCAGAAACAGGCCCGAAATCCATTCGTCTGTTTTCAACTCTTCAGTTGAAAACAGACGAATGGATTTTGTGTCACAAGTGTAGCAGGCTTAGCAAAGTGTTACTCTCCCCAGCAACACTTTCCAGCTCCTCCTGGGGGACCCCAAAGCATTCCCAGGCCAGCTTTGAGACATGTTATCCCTCCAATGGTCCAAAGATCCCTCCACGACCTCATTCTTTCAGTCACTACCTAGAGCTCATGACCATAGGTGAGGGTTGGGACGTAGATGGACCAGTAAATGGAAAGCTTTGCCTTTTGGCTCAGCTCCCTCTTCACCACAGTAGTCCAGCGCAGTGCCCGCATCACTGCAGACGCCGCACCAGACTGCTGTTTTATCTCACGCTCCATTCTACCCTCGCTGTGAACAAGACCCCGAGATATGTGAACTCCTTCCTTTGGGCATCCACAGTTTTCCGGCAGGGGCGGAGACCTCATCGCCAAAGCCACCAAACTCCATTTTATCATTATTAAAACACACTTCATTACAAGTCGACGGAAACAAAATAAAACTCGCCAAAAACATCTTGGTCCGTCTTTTTACTGTTCCAACAATCACCAGCTTTGGTTTGGTTGTAATAAACCTTAAATTTACTCAGTTAAATGTGAAACTATGCTGCCTCTATACACACTAAAATTACTGTTTATTTAAATTGAGTCTGGTGGTTTGGGTGATAGTGGTTTCAAAGCTGTTTCTGGTTAAACAAAAAGGATCTTACTCTTTAACAAAAAGCTCTATCTCTGTCGGGATCCTTTCCATGATGTTGTCAGACACTTATATTAACAATCTGACCCTGTCAGTGACAAAAACAAACACTTTTAGTGGACGTACACTAACGATGCGAACACGACAGTTTCAAAAAATGTTGTTCTCATTAGTCATTCACACACAAAAACACAGAAAAATAGGGTCCAGGTTTAAAAATACCAAATATCAAAGTCCCCTTTAAGTTCTGTCCCTGTCCAGGACCTCCGTCGATCAGCATATCATCTGAAAATCAATCACAGGTCAGTGAAGTGATCGAGTTTGAACTCTCATTGACCAGATGAGTTAAATAAGAAGTGTATTTAAATGCAGTTTAGTTTTAATTTCAGGTGTTTGATAATGATATGTGAAGACTTTTGACACTCACTGTGTCCGTTGATCTCTGGATTTATACTGCAGAGTTGTTTATTAGATAGTTTTAGACTGAGCTGAACTTTTAGCTTCTGTAAGGATCATTTTAAATTTACAGAGTTTAAAAAGTCTTTAATTATCTTCTTAAAATATTTGTTACGTTTATATACACGTCACGTATTAGTTTTATTACTCGTCAGCACTCGTATTATGCAATAATAAGGAAAAATCCTTTTTAAAAAGACTGAATGATGTTTCTGTGCTCTGCATACATGAATGCATTGTGCAGTCTGTCACTGTAAAGAATTTAATAATGATATGTAATATTTTAGACCCTGGTGTAGTATGTGCTGCATTTTTATGTTAAGTTTCTGCCACAGAGGTAAGACTGATAGAAGAGGCAGTTTTTATAAACTCTCGCCTGAGGCTGCATTTATATCAGACGTTAGAGAACAGGGTGACGTCTCAAAGCTTTTGGACTGTAAAGTGGATTTCTGTCTCCTGAACAAGTGCGACAAAGAAGGAAATCATCACTGAAGGATCGAAGGCATTTTGATGTCTGTTTTAAAAACTTTTTTGCAACTTGTGATCAAAAAGAGACACTGGACTTTCAGATGTCCTCAATCTACTTGGAATTTCCACCAGGAGGTCGACTTGTGTGTCTTTTCACAGTTTTGGTAAACACATGCATGGGACAAGATCAGCAGGCATCTTTCTACAACTAACTTTGGTGTAAGGAAGGCGGAAATATACCAGAAACAAATCCAGAATTTGCTCATTCAAACAAACAAATAGCTGATTTAGACTTCACAGCTGTGTAGAACGCTCGCTTTATTCTTTTTACTGTATTATATTTAGTAAAAGTATGACCCAAAACTGGCTTCTCATCGGGTACAAAGCTTCAAACTGGCCGACAAAAGGCTTGATTTGAAATGATTGATTAATTCCTTGTAATTCAGGTAAAGATTTCTGCATTTATAAACCCTTTTAGGGCCGACGACACAATAATATAATTTATTAGCTGGAGGCAGTACAAGCCTCTCCCCCACAGGGCTGTAGGCTACACAGGAGTCTTAAAATGTGTTTGTCTTGTTGTGTTATTGGGAGCCAGAATAGAAGGAGTCATGGCTCAAAACCAGCCGCCACTGCCCGTCAACAAAAACAAAGATGGTTAAATGTGATAAGACCAAAGGACTGGACGGAGGCCATCATCAAAAATGCTCACATGTGCAGCGCACACTTCATATCAGGTTAGGGGAAAAGTATTTCCTGTTGTAGGGATGAATAAAGTTATGTGTATTAAGGGTTATCATGTCCACCTCATCAGAAACTGGGGAGGGATTAAGAGGAATATTGGATTTCTCTGGAACGCTAACTTTTTAGCACATTAGCTAACGTTAGCTTCCATAGCAAAACAAACAAGTGTGGTCCTCCTTTGTAAGATTGGCTTCCTGTGACATCATCCATCCACTGAGTGAGAGCATACGGGTCGGCCAGTCTGGTCCCGTTGGTCAGTGTTTACTTATTCAAGTAACACTGGCGGTCCCGGAGAGTGAGTGACCTGACATGGTGCGTTGGTAAATTCAGTCTGACGCTCTACACTAACATGAGAGCCCTGTTGGTGGAAGAAACGCAGCGTTATATTTCTATATGAATTAAAGAATGCTTACAGAGTGCACTCTGACACTCGGGAGAGTGTGGTGCTCTGGATAACCAAACGGTTCATTCAGACAGCGCTCCAAATTTGTCCCAGATTGCGCTCCAATACTCGGAATGAGTATTTCTGAACACACGCTCACATCATCTTCCTCCATTGTCTAAAACAAGCCAACAGAACTTGCTAGCTAGCGCTAGCTAATGTCTGTGGAGAATTGTTTTGCCTCCAGCTAAGCCCCGCCCTCCAAAAACATACTGTTTACTAACGGTAAAATTGTTTATCCTACCTTTTAAGCAACTGCAACAACACACCGTGTTCATTTAACCAAACTTATGATTTCATTTTTATGATTTAGAATTTATCACATTTGATATTTTTAAATTGAACCAGGGAAGAAAAATCTATTACAAATTAGCTAGAAACAATTTTATAAAGAAACCTGAGCAAGCACAAGTTCAGAGCAATAAAAAAATTTGCCAAGCTGAATATCATATTTCTGGTATACTTCCACCTCGTCTATCAGTTGTGTTTCTGTGCCTACACTAGTACAAACACTGTAGGGTGTCTCGGCTCAGGCTGGAGCCGGTGAACCCGCTGTCTGTCTGCGGTCATGCTTTGCTGAACTTATTATCCTTGGAGACAATAGACGCCCACCATGAGTTCCCGTTAACTCCAGAGATGTTTAAAGGTTATCGTGGATTGACAGTGATTTTTTAAATACTGAAGAGATGCAGTGGAAACTTTCAGAACTGTATTTTTTACACTGTTTTTTTAATTCCATTGTCTTGAGATCACTAGCTTTGAAATTATTAACTCCTGATCTCGAATTAATGGCATTAAAAAAAACTAAAGTGCAAACACAGCTGTTGTGGGCTTGCACACAGACTTTAGTCGGCCACAAACATGACTTCACCATAACCAATCAGATGTTGTGTTTTCAGTTTGTTCTGCTGCCAACTAGTGGCCAAAAAAATCTTATAGCAGATGTTAAAGCTTACTTACAAGATCATTTTTCAGTGTTTCCTGGGACTTGTGGTCGACACACGAGAACCCTAAAAACTTATTATGTAAACAGTCTTCAACTTTTGACTCCTTTCAGCTAACTCGACTTTATTCAGTGCAGTCTAACATTGATTGCACTGATGATTCAGTTCGGAGAGTGTTGGAGTTAGAGGTGATAAGAAGTCAGTTTTTATTTATATTTCCCTTCTCATAGAGAATTAAAAGAAACAATCAATACCACACTATATCTTAATCAAACAGTTGGTTAGCTTAGCTTAGCTTAGCTCAAAGACTGGATACATACTGAAACTTTCCACTTTGTAGAGTCTCAGCTCAGCTTGTTGATTCGAGCCGTCTCTGTAAGTCTTTCTAGAATCACTGGTCTCTGTGGGAGCTGCTATTGTCCCTTTATTGTATTATTGTGATCGATCATACTCACTCTGCTTATAAATGAGATTTTAAAATGACTTTGTACTGTACAGACTAAATGCCAAATAGATTATTTTGCAAGAATTTCAGCTTTTGTTAAGATTTCAAATATTGTACCTGCAGATGTTTCATCTCAGAAAGTTGCTCTGTGTTGTTTTCCTCTGGTACACAACATATTTTTCACCTGTTTGTCTCTGCAGTTCCTCCTCTTCCTCCTCCATCTTCTCTTTTCTTAACCCTCAGAGACCTGCCGGATCGCCGGTGGTGTTAGGCGACCTTGACCTTTCACCTCAAGATATCTGACTGAAAATGGCTTCTATAGATGCCCACGAGTCTCCCCTTTATACATGCCCACTTTATGAATATCTCTACATACTTTAGTCTCTAATCAGTCTTTGAATGGCATAAATCGGGTCGGACCAGAAAGCTGAGACTCTTCTGGATTCAATAAGCCCAGTTTTATTCATGTGTGATGATGTCAGTCTCCACAGCAGCCGTTTTAGTGTAATGAGTCAATTTTTAAAACTTGACCTCACTGTATAAAATGACCTGTAGTGACCTCTAGGATGATCACAGCCTTATGAAACTTCATAATCATAAACAAGAGACGTCTGGTATTCAGAGGATGTTTGGCTTTCATAGGTATGTTGACAACAAACAGGGTTTTTAGCATTTTCCAGAACAGTCAACTGCCAGGAAAAATGTTGGCATTGTAACTTTATGCTAACTTTATTCTCTGGTTCTGCTTATCCTATTAGAGGTCAGCAGACTATCACAGGGCTGACACATAGAGACAGACAACCATTCACACTCACATTAACACCTATGGACAATTTAGAGTCAGAAAAGATAAGGTTTTGGCTTAAAATACCCACTTTTGGTGGCACTGTCCTGTCAGGAAACACAGCAGTGTCTGTAAAAAACACAACTGCATTTCCTTGTAATATCCCCACTGGAAATACAGCAATGTCTTGATAATAAGCAACCGTTTGTTACTGCACTATCTCCAGTTGAAACCTGCAACA